GGTGCGGAGGCGGTCCTCAAACTCCTCTGGTGTGGGCCCGGCAATCAACACATCATTGAAGAAGGGGGTGACGCCAGGAATCCCTTTAAGGAGCGAGTCCATTAGATTCTGGAATATGCCTTGTGCCACACTGACACCGAATTGCAGCCGCTTTACCCTGAACGCTCCTCTGTGCGTCACAATCGTCTGTGCCTCTGCTGTGGCCTCATCTACTGGCAGCTGTTGATATGCTAGGGCCAAGTCCAGCTTGCCAAAAATTTTTGACCCAGCCAGGGTGGCAAGGACATGGCTGACCACTGGCACTGGGTATGCATGGGCCGTGAGGGCCTTGTTTAGGGTACATTTGTAGTCTGCACAGATGCGGACCGAACCATTAGGCTTGACGGGTGTGACGATTGGGGTTTCCCAGGGGGCATTAGGCACCGGCTCCAGCACTCCTTGCTCCACGAGCCGATCCAATTCCTCGTCTATATGGGGTTTCAGGGCAAACGGGACCCGGCGGGCCTTGAGCCTGACCGGTTGTACTGCGGGTTCAAGCTGTAGAGCAATGGGGGGACCCGTATACTGTCCCAATTTCCCATCGAAAACCCCTGGAAATTCCTTGCATATGGCGTCCACGTCTACTTGTAGGCTAGTGTGGTTCACCCCGGTGATGGCTAGCCCCATTGGTCCAAACCATGCCAATCCCAGTAAGCTAATGTAGGGGCCCTTGACCACAAGCAAGTCCAGTTGCCGCGTCCGCCCTCGGTATTGCACCCTGAAGGTCCCCACCCATTGTGGGGACCTTACGTTTCTGGAAGTCCCGGAGGGTGAATGGGGCCGGCCTGAGTTTGGGACCCCCAGTAGGACACAGTTTCCTTAAGGTCCTTGCCGAGATTATGGATAGAGTTGAACCCATGTCAAGCTCCATGCGGCATGGGGCCCCCTCTATCTGTACCTCTACATAAATTTTCTCTACGTTGGGGTGGGGCAACTGGTATACCTGGAAGTCCGTGAGCTCCGTCGAGTTGCCTTGGTGCATTGGGCCCCAGGACCTGGGGCTCTTGGATTGGTCATCTGATGCCTGGCGTCGGGTGGGCCGAGCTCGACACACCCGGGCGACGTGTCCCGATTTTCTGCACTGCCTGCACTCTGCGTTGCGGAAACGGCAGGTCCTCTTCTCGTGACTTTCCCCTCAGCTTGCGCAGTTCCCTCTTTCTCGTCGAGGCAGCTGTGGTATGTGGGCTGCTTGAGTGCGCTGCTGTACTCGGTGCACCTCCTCCCTGTCAGATCCTGAGTCGTCAGTGAGGTCTTCGTGGTGGACCCTCGGTTGGGATGGCAGGCTCGGCCATGCCTCTTGCGTCGACCTCTTGGCAGCTTCTGTTGCCAGGGCCTCCTCCAGAGCGACCTGGAACATTAGGTCCTTCTTAGCGTAGAGGCGTCGTTGCAGCTTCTCATCCTTCAGGCCACCGACGAGGTGGTCACGAAGCATGTTCTCCAGCTCTGAAAAGTTGCAGAACCGGGCTGCTTGGTGGAGAGAGGTCACAAACCCAGTTATGGTTTCCCAGGGGCTTGCCGCTTTGCGTAGAAGGCATTTCAACGAGCCACCACTGAGGGCTGCGGCGAAAAGTGCCCCTTCAGCTGTTCCATTATTGTTTTGTATGGAACAGTAGCGACGTCTTCAGGTGCAAGGAGAACCCGGGCGATTTCAAACGTCTCCTCTCCGCAGACACTGAAGAATATCGCCCTCTTCTTGGCGTCTTCTTTATCGGTGACCCCTTTGGCTTCTAGGAGGAAGGTGAAACGGGAGGCGTACGCTTCCCAGTCTCCAGATGCTGAGTTGAATGACGAGAAGCTGCTGTCGGTTGCCATTCTGAGTTCCTTGTGTCTCAGAACTGAAGCCTGCATACACGGTGCGAGGCAGCGGTGCGGCAGGTGGCGGTGCTGCGGTGCTGTGTGTGGCAGTCAGCTCAGCGGGATCCCACCTTCGTCGCCAGTGAAATATACTCAGAGTCGCAAAGTGATTTCATGCTCTTTATTCAGCTCATAGTGGTGAGGAGGAATGAATGAATGTCCCCTCAAAGTATCTGCTTTATATACATTATTTACACAATGGGCTGCACATGATTGGCTAATTCTGGAATTCTACTGTAAGCCAATCAGGTTGTGGATTCACTTATATCTGGAGCATGATTGGGTGGTTCCTGCCAACCAATCATACTGCTGCATTGTTCTAGGATCAATCAGACTGCTGTATTCTGAATCCTATTGTTCTAGGACCAATCAGACTGCTGCAATTTGGATCCTATTGTTCTAGGACCAATCAGATTGCTGCAGTTTGCATCCTATTCAACTCAGTACATAACAGCATCTCTGGGCTATTTGTGGGGCCGAGGAATTCGTTCATGCCCCCCCCCCCAATATATAGTCCGCCCCCCCCACATGGTCTGAGGGACAGTGGATCAGGCCCCTGCTGAAAATGTTTGCTGACCCCTGCTTTATGTGATTCCCATCGTATCTGATGAAGCCCCAAACCTTTCTGTAAGCTATGTCGAATTGTAGCCTGGATTGGTTTATCTCATGTTGAAGTGTGGAGATTTGATTGTTTGTTTGTTTAAAAAGAGGAGAGTAGGGAGGAGGGGACAAGTTTTCACACACATACAGGAGACTTCAAATGCTGCGGGAGCAAGTTATTCGCTAATTAACAGTTGCATTTCAATCCTCTTGTAAGCAGACACGTTCTAACAGCTGAAGTTCTTTTTATAGCAGCAGAATCTTCTTTGGTACACGCTGAACATTGCACTCTAGATTCAGAAGGCATTACTAGCCGGCAAAGGATTTCCTCACTACTCACTGTAAGCAAAGTTGTACCAGGGGGATAAAGAATATTATATATGCCACAGCATATTAAATAGTAATAAAAGCCAAGAGGCGAAGGAAGCAGTTAATGGGCACTTGGCCGCACTGCAACATACAAGGTGCAGAATAGATTAACCTGCTACTTTTGTTGTGCACCAAAGTCCTCCAAGCTTTCAAAGTTCCACAGGGGCTTCAGTCACTGGGACTCACATTGTGTTTATTTATAAGACTTATTAGATGCCTTTCAAGGGCAAGTAAGGCAATATACCACACATATTTATCAATTGGAGATGGAGACCCTGGACTCACTTAGGGCTCATTCACACTTCCCTTTGTCTCATCCGTTTGTCGCATGATTTCTAGGCAAGGGTCTGAGAGGTTTTTCTTTGGTCTCCCCACTCTACCATTTACTGCTAAATCAGAGCAAATGCAGACCTTCCAAGTGTCCCTGTTTTCCAGGGACAGTCCCGGATTTACAGAAGCCGTCCCGGTTTCTGATTTGATCCCAGAATGTCCTTCTTCTCCTTAGGACGTTCCTATTTTCATCTGAGAAATGTTTGAGGGTATGGAGTTATGCGACCCCCAAGCCAAGGAGATAAGTAACTATACAGCCTTTAGAAGTCATCTGAAGACAGCCCTGTATAGGGAATTTTTTTTTAATGTTTAATGTTTTATTATGTTTTTATATATGTTTGAAGTCGCCCAGAGTGGCTGGGGCAACCCAGTCAGATGGGAAGGCTATAAATAGTGTAGTAGTAGTAGTAGTGGTGGTGGTGGTGGTAATAATAATAATAATAATAATAATAATAATAGGATGTCTCTATTTTCACTGGAGAAATGTTGGAGGGTATGCAACTGCCCACCTGCAGAAAACCCAATTGACGTTTGCTCCGATTCAGAAGCAAATGGCAGGTTTTCCTGGGGAAAGCGGTAGGATGACAAGAAAAGCCTCTTGGATCCATGTCTAGAAATCAGGGGACAAACAGAAGCATGGACGAGCCCTTAGATAGGAGAAAAATCCCACTGGACTCAAAGAGACTTACTTTTGAGTAGGCGTGCATATGACTGGGCTGGGAGGGGGGGACTTTAAACTGCCCTTTGGTCAAACTTTAATCTGCCCTTTGGTAACTACAATACATAGATATAATTGCAGTGATGACGTGGTTGTTGCTGTCTCGCCAGAGTGAGAATACTAATGGTCAGTCAGTGCTCAGTTTCCCCAAATTAGGAAAGAATCAAAGCTGATATATTTCTGTCTGGGTGCACCCAATTGTTGCTGGCGAAGATCCCAAGAGCAGCAATGGCTGGTTTCCCCAAATTAGCATTTTAGCAGGTACACATGCAAAAAACAAGTTCATGAGAATGTGCGCACTGGCTCATTAGCAGAGCAAGAGTGCACATTTTGGGACTTTCAGAGATTTATAAGATTCCTGTTTATTTGGTTTTGCAGAGAGTGCATATTTCATATATTTCATATTGTTCAATGTTCCGTATAGATTATAGAAAGAGTTTACATTGATATTGCATTGTTGTACTTGGTCATCGTGTTGCCTTGGATATTACTGATACTGTTTGCAACACAGGGGTTTAATTGTTTGGTTACTCATTAGCAGATCTGGCAACAAGCCCTTGACTGTGGTGTGAACCCCGTACATGTTATTGGTGCTGCAACAAACAAGCCAACCTAGATTATACTCAAGAGGCCTTCCTAATCTCCCTTATCAGCCCTGGGAAAGAGAAGAACCCATGGTATGTGTCTAATAGAGGCCCTAGTGGGGTAGATCAGGAGGTCTGGGAGCATATGGTGGCGAAGATCCAATTCTCTGGATCGGCATTATGAATCGGTGGAATTAAATTGGAAGCCTGATTTGGCAGAATGACATTAATATTTTGTTATTAGACTGTCTGTTCAATCAGTTTAGTATCTATCAGACCCTCTGCCTTAAGTCAATATCCTGCCCAGACAGATGAAGGGAGGAATTATAATCAATCTCTTTCATCTTTTTATTTAGCTTCCAAGAAGCCATCCTGGTTTCTGAACTGCGTATTCCCTTCTTTTCCTCATTGACCTCATAATCTTGCTTTCTACCTCAAAGCAATAATGGGGAGTAATAACATCAGAAATCAAGCAGCCTAGATATCTGGCAACAGGTTGTGGATATTTATATATACAATTTTTTATTGTTTAAAAAGAAAAAGTACATCGAGATACTGAAAATCATAAAATATTGCAAAGTACATCGCCATTACATTATTTGTTCCCAAAGACAATGAATTCGTTCCAATTTCCAATAAAACCTACACTGTGTTTTCTGTTATGATACTATTTTGCATCGGATATAGGTTGCGTGAAGTTCAGGTTCGGGGCTGTGTGTGGAGGGAAGGAAGGAAAGAAGGAGAGAGAGAGAGAGATAGAGAGAGAGAGAAGCAAAATCCTCTGGAGGGCAAGCTTGACTCAAGTCGCTTCTATATGGGGCAAGATGTACCACATGATCTCCTCTTGCCTATTAATGTGAAGGTATTTCCTTGTTCTGGGTGCTGGTTACACAGGTTGAATGTCTTCCTGGCATTCTCAGGAGAGGGCAGGTTGTCATTCTCAACCCTATTTCTGTGACTTTACTGTTTTTGATGTTGAATTTTAAATTGTAACCTGCTCTGGCACTTGCTCGTCATGGGCTGGCAATAAATTTATTTGCTTATTTATCTGAAAAAGTGCCAAGTTCAGGGCCCAGTGCAGGCGCAAGTCCTGACATCTTGTTGATAGAAGCCTAGAATACACATTACAGTTATTGCACAGAGAGACCTTCTCTGTCCCCGTGTTTGCAATATATGGACATTAAGTATGTTTACAGATTTGCCTGAAGATACAAACTTTGTATCTGGGGCAGGGGGCATACATAGAAGCAGTCCTGTGAGTGTTGCACCCTGCATGTTCAGTCCCAGGCATCACCCCTGTGCTCAGTGGGAAAGTTCTGCAGAGGGTTCCTACTTATGAGTTGACCCCCTCGGTGCCACTGGGGACCCTGAAATAGCAGGATCCCTGATAAATTATGTGAGCCCCCTGCTTGATGTGGAGACATTCAGGAATGCGGAGGAGCAGGGGGTGGGGAGCAACTTGCATGAGGACATTGGAGGCATGGCTTTCATGCACGCCCCACCCCTCCACCCACACTTTGGAGCATTTGCATGTTCAGCTGAATGCCTGGGCATGCATCCCATGTTGGCACTGGTACCTCCACATCATCCATTAAGTGCAACTTGGTGATGGGTGTAGATGGGTGTCACACGGTCTTCCTGTAACACTTGTCCCATGTGGATTAAGCACAGTGCAGATGTTACGTTTTCCATGAGACATGTGCATAACCCCCATGCCTTGATCTTGACAGAAACATCTTATTTATACATTTATAAATCATCATACAGTAAAATGGCAGGCACCACTTTTTCCCTCTCCAAAGGGCTTTAGAGTCCATTTACACACGATCTATAAGAGTTGAGGTGCAGTAATATGCTATCAACTTGTATCCTTCAGCAGAACCTGTGACAAAAAGACCACTTAGCTATGCCTGAAAGCCCTATGGATGAGATATCATCCGCCAAAAATGGTATGGACTGGTTGCACGATGGGATTGATATGCACATAGGCCTTGTCATGGAAGGCTGAGTGGACAGACTAGTCAAGGAGCTAAACGATAACTTTATTGTTTCTCTAAACAAGAACAGAACAGCAGCAGGAACCTCCTGACACCACTTAGCTACACACACAAGCCCAGCGCCACCTAGTGACTAAGCTATGCCATGACACTATCCACGCAGGCGTTGAGTCACACACCTTGGTACCAAGTAGCTGTACAGCTCAAAGCAGGAACTTTGCAACACCAGGTGCCAGTCCTCTTCTCTTGGCATCAGCAGGGCTGCTGCGTGAAGAAGGAAACTGGAGGTAGTTTAAGGCAGGAGGAGACTAACACCACAGATGAGAATCCTCCTGGTCCCAGGAATCAGGCAATTGAGGACATAGGAAGCTACCTTAGACCAAGTCAGATGGTTCAGTCAATCTGGCTCAGTGTTGGGACCTTCTGCAACAAACCATGTGCTCACCCACCATGGAGCTACAGTTGTTCCCTGTTCTGGAGAGCCTATCACAAACCACTGCTGGCTGTAAGGCTTCAAAATCCCTCCCTTAATCCAGGCATCTGTTTGTTGCAAGAAGAAGCCACTAGGCTATATAGCCCTTTGAGCTACCAGGCTAGGGGGCCACCAATGCATGTGCCCACCAGGATCTTCTACAATACTTGTGAAAGGTCTCACTAAATATCCCCTTAAAAAATCAACAACGCATGAGGGACAGTTTGCTGTTTCTGTTCAGTTTATATTGGCACTGCTTTGGTTTCTGTGTTGCACACATGCTCATATTTCATTGGATGGCAGGACTGGACAACCAAACCTCCCTTCCATTCAAACCAAGAGTGAGCAAGTGCAGTTGTGGCTGATGTAGGTGCTCCCTGCTCCCCATTGATAGGGGAGCTGATGCAGGGAGGGTGCCCAAGCCATCTTTGGTCCTGCCTCTTTCAGATGTGGTGGCCATTTTGTGTTATGCCACACCATGGCAGCCATTTTGCGACTGGCACATGCAACACTTTCTCAACATTCCCCCCACTGGTCCAAAAAGGTTGGGCATGTCAGCCGACTCCCTGCCTGCTGTCTCTCCAAGCTGGACATTATCAGGGATTGCCTGCCTGACAGTTGCAATCTGTGGATGGCTGGGTGTAGATTGTCCATACAAGATTCATGTGTGAGCCTGTTCTCAGGATAAAACGGGCTACTGCCTCTGTTTGTTTTAAATGCTCAACTTATTAACACAAACATTGTGGAGAACGCAATCAACATGTAAAGCAAATTAACTATTGTGGAGCTGTTTTTGAATCTTTACAGGAAAGCTGGCGATTTTCATTCTTCTGCCCCCTCTTCCTGCTTCAGTGATGTTTTGGAAGGTTTTCTACACTAAGCTGACACATGTGTGTCTCTGGCGTAGGACCTAAGGCACTATCCTGGCACAGCCACTCTAGCCGGCTGCTGGAGTTCCTCTCCCAGCTATAGCCACAGTTCCTGGAGCACGAAGGGTCAGAGTTGGATTGAAAAGGCAGCTCCATTCGCTGGACGTTGCTGTAGGTTACCACAATGCTGGGTATCTGGGCTGTAGATGAGAGGTAGCAAGAATCTTCTGCCCTCACGCCAAAAGTGTACTGATCGTCACCTGTCTTAAGAAAGTACGAGAAAGAAGAGGTTAATACACAATGTGCCTGAGTTGACAACAGCCTATGGGGTGGGTGGGAAGCGATGTATATTTGCCACATGCATTTGGAGAATCCACCCTTGTCAAGTCAAAACAGGCCTGTCAAGAGAGGAGTTCAGTGTTTGTCCATCCCCACAATCAAAGAAGCAAGGTAGATACAATGCATGCAATACCTGCTAAAAAAACCCTATTTTTTGCAACTGTTAAAGGCACAGCCTCTATTTGGCCACATTCCACCACTTTGGACTGCAAGTAGGAGCTACAATTTTCCGGATTCTCCTGCCTGCCGGAAGAAAATGAGCTCCCCAGAGAGAATGGCTCTAGAGTCTAGAACGGTTCTAGTAACTATGCTACTTTCCTACTTGCAAGGAAGGTTTTCTTTTTCATAGTCAAGCATTAAAAAGTGACACACACATCTTGCAGTCTGAAGCGGCACAGTCTATTCTAACACCTGAGGACTCTTGACACCTCATTCTGCTGCCTGCAGAGACCTGTTCTCAGATTCATGCTACAGATTTACAACAGGGGTTGGCAACCTCCAGACCACATGCCTAATTAGACCTGGCCGGCTCCCCATTTGGACCGCAAGCCCATTTCAGCCAAGCCAAGCCCCTTGCCCCATGTATGACATCATATATGATCTGTGGGCAATCTTGCCACTATGGAACAAGCATTAGGTAGCACCTGTAATGGTGCCAGTCACGCTGATTGACACACAGAGTGGGCATACATGGGTGTAAGGCGAGCCTGCAAGCAATCTGGTCTCAAGCCATTAAGGGTTTTATATACTAATGGTAACATCGTGAACTTGGCCCGGGAGCAAATTGGCAACGGGTGCAGATCTCTGAGCAGAGATGTAATCTGTAGTAGGGTTTCACTCCCATCAGCAGTTGTGCTGCAGCGTTCTGCCCTAAGTGCAGCTTCTAGATCGAGCACAAAGAGAAGCTGTGCAAAGAGGCATTGCAGTAATAAGCCTTGAAGTCACCAGTGTGCTACTTGAACTACTTGTCAGTTTTCATTTCTTAGTACAGAAAGTATTGATCCGATGTGCTAGAGATCTTTCCTATTCTACTTAATTCAGGAGGGTTCTGGAAGCTTCTCTGTGCGAAAGAAACAAGCAGAAGGTTCATGATGTTTGGGTTATTGCTTCAGAGAAGCTGAGTACAGCCGGCTTAAACAGAACTACCTCTTTCAGTCAAGGTCATGCTGACTATAAAAATGGGGCCAGAAGGAGCTTGGGCTTCACTTTCTCTTTCTATCTCTTTTCCTTCTGGCGTGGTGTTCTGTATATTGTATGCTTAGTGTTAAGGTTTAGACTTACTATAAATTATTGAAAGTTTAAGTTAAGTCTGCTGCAACTGGATTTCTTATGGACAGTGTCAATCCTGAATGTATTGGATTTGTGACCATAATGCTTATTAGCCTTCAGTGGCCATTAAAGCTCTGCTGGATGAAATATTCATTGCCTCTGGTCTATTTCTGGGGAATCCTGCAATGTGTTTTAAGTTTTTACTCTGCTAACTATACATTGGAATCTAATCTGGATAATATTGAGTAGAATTTCAATGACACTACTGTGGTCAAGCTCTCCTGGTGCAGGAACATCTGTAGCTGTCGCACCACTTACAGCTGGCGAAAGGTGCTTCTAGCCAGAGGCTACCTGGGTCTCCAGCAACAAAGCTGGATTCAGAATCACGCCAAAACTACATACCTGTAAGTCTGGCTTCATCATCAGCCCAACACTATGGGGAGGCCACATTGTTCACATTTCCCACAGATTATTGAAAGCTGGATGGCAACTTACCAGGCTGTCTCCAAAGATGTAGTTTCCAAAGGCTAAGTCCTAAAGAAACAATATAGAGAATTGTGCAAAACATCCACAATCATGTTTCCACATAGGTCTTGAACTGGTTAACCCGAAGAGTCATTTTTAAATCAGGGGCATGGATAGAGTGGCCTGTTGCAAAAGAAAACAGGGTCACTGCCCCACAAAGAATCCTGTAGAAGAGGGCACTTCAGCAAGTGCCACTGGTTGTGTAAGCTGCACCTGTTGAATTTCCCTCTTCTACACAATTCTCAAAGGTGCAGGAGCCTTAAGCACCTGTTCACTTTACATGTGCATTAATTCACTGGCTTGTCCCCAATGCATGTTTACTCAAAAGTAAGCCCCATGTCAGTGCATAGTAAAGTGTATTCTTCCACCTCTGTCTTATGCATGTTTGCTCAGAAGCGCCACTTAATATTTAAGGGTGCATTAAGGTTGCAACTTTCATTGCATGTACATGTACTAAGGACTGCGGGTTGATTTCAGCAACAAGACTCTGAGCTTGGCAATTTCTTCTTTTTTTTACAGGGCAAGAATGGAGGCTGTGAAATAGTGGATTGGCCCAGGCTTGCACCCTTCCAACTAGCAACTCACCCATCCCAGCTATGCAGAGTGAAAACCGATCACCTGCTAAGTAGCAGTAGATGAATGCAGGAAGAGGTTTGAGCTAATGAAGGGAGGAAGTGACTGCTAAAGATGCGGGAGAATTTTGTGCTTCCTGAACCAACATGTGAATTAAAATGCATTGAAATCCATATTTTTCTCCATTTTGTGATGCAGCACTCTAACCAATAATTCTGTCCGAGACAAAGCATATATTATGGGGAAGTGGACACAGAAACGTGTGTATTGGTGAAAGTACTGTTCAAAACCGCATTATATTAGGGGAAATGGCTTGCAAAAATGTGTCTATTAGGGGAAATGGCATATAAAAGTTGTACATTGGGAGAGAGGGGCAGACTTTTAAAATAATAATAATCGCAGACTGATGCAGAAACCAGGCAAATTGAATTAAAGATTGAAGAAACTGGGATGAACAGATTTACCCAGACCTAGATACTGTCCTAGAGAAAGGAGGGCAGACTTTGGGATTTTTTAAAAGAAACTAAGCACTTTTGATTCTCTTTGCCTTATGGAATATGCAGTGGTGACTGGACTATGCTCCCTATGCAGCATACAGAAGATTTACAAAGAGTGGCAAATACTGAGCAGTGAAATATAACAATATGCATCCCTACCACTACCATATTACAGGCCAGAAAAGAACCAGTGAAATATTTGAGCTATAGCCAGGGTGCAAACTATTAGCAGTATCAGGAACTGTTGGCAGGGAAAGGCGTTCTGGCAGTGTGGTCATAGAATTGTAGAGTGGGAAGGGACCTTGAGGGTCATCTAGTCTAACCCCCTGCAATGCAGGAATCTCAACTAAAGCATCCATGACATATGGCCATCCAACCTCTGCTTGAAAACCTCCAAGGACGGAGAGTCCACCTTGAGCTCCTTGGAGGAAAAGTGAGATAGAAATGTGATGGATTAAACCCAGTGGTTGCCAACCTTTTTTGGGCCATGCCCCACCTAAGCATATCTAAAATCCTGACACGCCCCCCCCCGGTGACATATAATTCTTATTTTTCAAAAAGTGAATTCCTATGCATGTGGAGGAAGCCTAAAAGGCCATTAACTTGGTTTAAACAAGCTTCCAAATTGCCCCCCTTACGAATCAAATTGCACCCCCTGCGGGGCATTGGGAACCACGAGGTTAGATGGACAGACAGAGATATAAATAAATTTGAGCATGTCAAGTGGGAGGTGTTTGATATATGGCATGGCTGCATTGCTTTCCCTGAACATCCCCATCCCTGAAAGAATCACATGAAATGTTCACACTATGAAAAGAAACCAGCAATCTGGGATATTCACCTCTGCCATAGAAATGTCATCTGCATCCACTGATGTCTACAAAAGAAAGGAAAGAAAGAGTGTGTAGCAGTGCAGACAATTCTTACCCCTGGATATGGAGTTGTCACAGCATGGTCCTATCCTTCTCTAAGTGCTGCGTGAGAAGGATAATTCCATATGTCAGTTATGATTGCACCCTCTCTTAATAACCATGCAATATATTGTGCCCAGTGCCTGGTACAACTATGACCTGGCCAAATGAGGAATGAGGGGCGACCAATTATTAGGTATTCTTTTCTGCCATCCCAGAAAAGATGGGTGTTAGGTATTCTTTTCTGCCATCTCCCATCCTGGGGCCACTCGTTGCACCAGTGCTGTGCTGCACACGATAATATATGCCCAAATATACTGTTAAAAAGGTAAAGGGACCACTGACCATTAGGTCCAGCTGTGGCCGACTCTGGGGTTGCGGCGCTCATCTCGCTTTATTGGCCGAGGGAGCTGGCGTACAGCTTCCGGGTCATGTGGCCAGCATGACTAAGCTGCTTCTGGCGAACCAGAGCAGCGCACGGAAACGCCGTTTACCTTCCCACTGGAGCTGTACCTATTTATCTACTTGTGTTGGGATACTGCCAGGGAAACAAAGTCCATCATGGCCCCCAAGCCGCCTCCGGACGTCCATCGATCTCCCGTAGACACACAGTATCAGCAGTTAGCGACACGAGCTCCAGAAATAGCTTGCCACATTCCAGAGCTGATGCACGCTCTATCAGCAGATAATGCACAGCGAAAGATGCACTCAGGAGAGCATTATTTACAAGTTTATTCAGCGTTGATCAGAACAAAGAAAACATGACTGCCAGCTTCAGTGTCTCAGACACAGAGAGAGAAGCGAAAGCAAAGACACAACAGAAACATCCTGTGAACAGGAAATACACAGACTCTGTGACTCACAAAGCCTGCTCCCTTTTAAGGTGGAACGGAAATATCCTAACAACTTGCACTTTGACGTGCTTTCGAACTGCTAGGTTGGCAGGAGCTGGGACCAAGCAACGGGAGCTCACTCCGTCGTGGGGATTCGAACCGCCGACCTTCTGATCGGCAAGTCCTAGGCTCTGTGGTTTAACCCACAGCGCCACCTGCGTCCCAAATAAATATACTGTTATGCCCAGTTTAAAGGACCATCCCATCCCATTCCCATCTTGCAGGACCAAGAGCAAATGAGATCAGAGGATAGGACTGAGATTATTCCAGCAGCCAATCACAAAACAGCAGCAGGCTCATAGAAGCTGCAGCAGGTGAGAACAGCTCCCTGATCCAGAAGGGCACAGCCTGGGGCCACAGGGCTGAGCTCAAATGCCTCTGGGGGTGTTTATGCAGGAGAGGAAAAGCAGGGGAAATTGTGATGGGGTGAAGGGGTGACAAGCGCGGAAAGGAACCACTTGCACACACAAAGGCACCCAAGGAAAGAAAGGTTGCAAGCTGAATAAAGTGTGTGTTTTGTGCATGGGGGTGAGGCTGATGGGGTGGGGGGGGGAGAGAAGCAACATTGGCTGGACACAATGTTGCTTTGTTCCCTCCCAGCCACTATTTATAGAAACACATTATTTATGGGACACGACTGCGGTCACAGGGAAGCGAAACAGTATTTTGGATTTTCCATAACAAAAGGCACCATATAAAAACAAGCCAAAATGCCAGAGAGAGGAAAAAAGGTGCAAATATTCTGCCAAAGATGCCCTTCTGAGGGCAACAGTGACAGAAAGTGGTGGAGAGCTGGAAACAGAATGCCGGGTGTTTATTTTTAGGTGGAGAGGGGCGTCAAACTAAATTTGCCAATTTCCCAGTGACTTTGGCAGCAATCTGATGTGCAGAATGGAAAGGACCAACAGCACGGTGCACATCCCAGCAATGGAATGTGATAGGGAAGCATCCCCCTGTTAGAAAATGTGAATGCCAGGCTGCTGTCAAAGGCACAGAAGGAGGGCCGGTGCAAAGACAGAAACGGTAGCCCTGGTTAGAAACCAGCTTCAGGCAGATCTACATTAAAGGGTATGTGTTTATGCATGGCTATGACAGATCAGTAAACCAAAATGTCTTCACCTATCATCATCAGCATTCACACATACAGTGCACACAATTTCCCTTATCTTGGGTCCATCCCGCCAGTTTCCACCCTTAGAAGGAGCACTCAGTGGTACATGCTGGACAGGAGAACAATACTATGGGGAATGTTCTTCAAGGTGAGTGCTGCTCCTCTTGTGACAAATCTTTGTGTTCTCAGATGCGGGGAAGTGTCAAGACTTCCACTAAGTGTTCAGAGACTCATAGAATCATAGAGTAAGAGTTGGAAGGGACCCTGAGGATCATCTAGTCCAACCCCCTGCAATGCAGGAAAATGCAGCTGTCCCATATGGGGATCAAACCTGCAACCACGTTCTAACCAACTGAGCTATCCAGTGTTCATCAAACGACAGGGACTGGGCACGAAAATGCTGCATCAGGATGGGTAAGTTATGATACAGGCAGCAGAGTTTTACTTTTTCTAAAATGCTCTGCCCAATCTTATCTCCCACTAGCCTCACAATTTCTTTTTCAGCGGCTTTTGAAAGATTCCTTGCTCCCCACAGCACATTCTCATCAGCACTGCTCTCCCCTGCTTATGTTTGGCCTGTGCTTTGCATAATGATTTCCGTACAGTTGCCGGGCACACAGCATTTGCTGTTTTGTGCTGAGGCCAGCCCTCCCCTTCAAATGTTAGCGACACAGGATCTCCCATGCTGCAGAACTGGCAAAAGGAATAGCACACGTGAAAATCGTAATTAGTGAAGTGGGAGTCGCTTGACTGCCAGGCATCTTTTCAAATTAACAAGATGAAATAGGTGACAGCTGCTTGTGGGCTGGTGTTGGAGATTACGATCGTGCCAATAGGTGTGAGAAGAGGAAGGAGATTAGAGTGGTGTCACAACCGAGCCAGGATATGTGCATGGACTTGTTGTGGTTTCTATAGGGAAACACTCTTGTTTTTAAAAGGGAAAGCATATCTCACAAATGAAATGGACAAACTATTAAGTTCTCCTCTACTTGGGTCTCCTAATGGCAGCTTTCTTATACAGGTTACTGAAGGCATTTGGGAGGAGGGGATGGAAAGAGAAAGAGAAAAATTTACTGACATGGAATAATACAAGCTGAGGCAGAGATCTGCAGACCTGTCTGTTCTGAGAATAGGATGTTTTGTTACCTTTTCGAAAATCCCTGAATCGTGGCTTTTCAGTTTAGATTTGACTTTGACATCGTTCATTTCTGCCGTGGTGTCTTCACCCATCTCGTACGAAACTTGCCCGCTAGCACCTCTGGAGTTCAGACTAGAGATATCCGCCTCTGTGTCAGTCCATTCCTGCAGCGACAGGCCAGCATGAATTTTTTTCAGAGAGTCTCTTTGGGTTTAATGACTTTCCCTCAATCAGTTCAGTTATGTGCCAAATGGCTCTCATTAGAGAAAAGAGCCAGAAATGTGAAAGAGACTCCAACAAATCCTGTCTTGGGGCCAGTTTAGACAATCGGCAAAATCAGGGGGTGGGGCTGTTCCTAGACTGCATCTGTTCAGGCTCTTTCTCTCCCCACCCACCCCTCTTTTTAAAAAGCAGACTTTCCTACTGCACAAATGCCCTGTTGGACACCCTGCACAAAATTAAAAAGCCCAATGAACACACAGCATTCTTTGCCCCTTGCTTACACCCTATATCAGTGATGTTATCTCCAAAGGAGTCAGTAGTTCTTATCTACTTTACAGCGATAATTCATTTATGGCTCTGCCTTGTGCAGTAATGTTACCCGCCTAGAGAAGAGGAGGGTACAGTCCAAACGAAGGTGTTTTAATATGGTTTGGGTAGTTTCAAGTATGGAAATGGAGTGCATTCTACCCTTGTAGCCCTGTGCTTAATAAACACATAAGGACAACAAAAGAGGATTTTACAAGCCCTTACAGTTGCTAAGAGTCTTATACTTTTCTGCCTGGAAAGATAAAACACCCACCAAGTATTATGCAAGGGTTTGAGGACCTCACGGAGCTACTTACATTTGAACATATGTCATATAAACATCATTTTTGTGTGGATACCTATTTGGGCACCTGGAGGGCTTGTATCAATTTATATATTCTACATTAGATGTACATACTGATGCTTACAGCATCCATAATGTGAACTGATGGCGGGTTGTTGTTGTTGTTGTTACTATTAGTATTGCTCATATATTATTTTTCTTTTTAATCAAATTTACCGGTAACTATTTTTTCATTAGCAATTTCATTTAATTTCTGTAATAATGTCCCCTCTTCCTTTTCTTTGTTAAGTTTACAAATAATTTTTTTTTTAAAGAAACCCAGAATAAACCTGTGTCTCCCGCATGCTCTCATTTCCCCAAGTGCACATTCTGTGTCCCACCACATACCAACCCCACCCTGCTTTCATAGTACAGTGGTACCTCGGCTTAAGTACTTAATTCATTCCGGAGGTCCGTACTTAACCTGAAAATGTTCTTAACCTGAAGCACCACTTTAGCTAATGGGGCCTCCTGCTGCTGCGCGCTACCGGAACACAATTTCTGTTCTCATCCTGAAGCAAAGTTCTTAACCCGAGGTACTATTTCTGGGTTAGCGGAGTCTGTAACCTGAAGCGTATGTAACCTGAAGCGTATGTAACCTGAGGTACCACTGTATATGCTGCAGAGATTTAAGTGCTCCTTGACTGAAAATAATAAACATTCTGTACAACATTGAGCATATCAGGGACATGGTTAGACCAGGGTTCCCCAGACTTGGGTTGTTGGGCTACAACTTCCATCGTCCTTGACCACTGGTCCTGCTAGCTACAGATGATGGGAGTTGTAGTCCCAAAACAGCTTGAGACCCAAGTTTGGGAAACCCTGGGTTGGACCAAACCTTTCCCCCCAATATGCTTGATTTGATATCTATTACCCTCAGTCCTTGGCATTGGTCACTAGCCCCCATTATAGTCTTGTTGTGACAGTGAACAGGTCCAAGAAAGGCCAGGGCCAGACTTCAGGGGACACTATGCATGATTTAGCTGATGGGACCCACCCCACAGTCACCAGTGCCCTGCCAGAGCATCCTCCTCCCCAGATTTTGTTAAAGGCCTAAAACAAATTGTGAGTTTTAAAAGCCTTTGTAGCTGCAAACCAGAGCAGCAGCACAGTAATAATAATATAATAATAATTTATTATTTATACCACGCCCATCTGGCTGGGTTTCCCCAGCCATTCTGGGCGGCTTCCAACAAAATATTAAAATACAGTAATGCATCAAACATTAAAAGCTTCCCTAAAGAGGGCTGCCGTCGGATGTCTTCTAAAAGTCTGATAGTTCTTCTTCTCCTTGACATCTGCTGGGAGGGTGTTCCACAGGGCGGGTGCCACTACTGAGAACGCCCTCTGCCTGCTTCCCTGTAACTTGGCTTCTCGCAGTGAGGGAACTGCCAGAAGACCCTTGGCGCTGGACATCAGTGTCCGGGCTGAACGATGGGGGTGGAGATGCTCCTTCAGGTATACTGGACCGAGGCCGTTTAGGGCTTTAAAGGTCAGCACCAACACTTCGAATTGTGCTCGGAAACGTACTGGGAGCCAATGCAAATCTTTCAAAACTGGTGTTATGTGGTCTTGGTGGCCGCTCCCAGTCACCAGTCTAGCTGGTGTGTTCTTGGCCAGCTCATTTGGAGGTGGAGCCAAACAGTTAGGTGGCCGCTATGAATGGAAGCTGAGTTTGGCTCCTCAGCTGTATCCACACACCTCCGCTTGGGCCTGGCAATAAGTGGTGGTCTGAGCTGATGAAGGGCCCTTCTATGCCCTGGGCCCCTAGTAGTGTGGTAGGAGAGCTGGGGGGAAAATTCACATCTGGCACCAATGTACCCCTTTGGTTTCAGATATTATATGGGTAGACGAGTCTAAAAAGCCCGGGCACAAATTTTTAGGGACCTCCTACGACTATGGTGGCTCATTTTCCAGAAGTAATGTATTAATCATTAACTCTGGAAGTGTATACTCAATTCTGACCCCACTAAGCCTCCTGGTGTATGTTTTGCTCTAGGGAGCTTAGTTTGGTCAGAATCAAGTATACACTTTCAGAGTTAAAGCTAAATACAATACTTCTGGTAAATGAGCCACCATAGCTGTGAAAATTTGTGTCCCGGGCTTTTAAAGACCCGTCTACCCATGTCATATCTGAAACCAAAGGGGCGCATTGGTTGCCAGATGTGAACTATATTGGCATTATTTTCAGCAGGGAATGGCAACCAGGTGGCAGTATACCATAATGACAGCTTGCTAGTGTGCTCAGGGACAAAATCTACCCCCTACCCCCAACTGAAACCCATTTTGAGGCTCAGGAGAAGGAAGGGAAGGTTTTGCTCTCCCTCCTCTCAGACGTCTCACTGACTGCGACTTACTTATTTTCTCCCACAGAAATCAACAAGACTCTTTCCTATCTCAATAATTTTGTTGCTTCTTCATCACATCAGAGTGTGAAAAAGAGACAGGAGCTTAAAAATAATAATAAATCTACATGATGCCATCATTTCAGACTAATCATTCTGAAGTATAGAGAGACACCTGAGAGATTTTGGCCTTGCTGGAAAGAAAGGCCCGTTCTGAAAAACAACAAGGAGCCACAAAAATAATTCATGGAAAAACTAAAATATTTATCTTGTCTCATGTAGAAATGTGTATGTTGTACGAACATGGGCATTCCCAAGTTGGCTTTATTTTAGCAAGATCTGCTTTGTTGTATTTTTAATCAGGGATATAAAATAGATGGAGTGCAGAACCCACACAGCTCCAAAATCTCCTGTAAGAATTTGGAGCATGTTAGCCTCCCCTAAAAGCACATTAACCTAAAAACGTAACAGCTTAGGGGGCATAATAGCATTTTTGTGTTTTTAGAGCTCGTCTAAAAAAATAAAAAAACTGGTTGAAAAAGAACACATTATTGTGCCTTGGATAGCACAGAAGGAAAGTCTCTCAGATTCCAAAGCGAAGAACCACTTCCGGCTTCTTTGCAAGTAACCACTAAGTACTTAGCAGTGATACAGCAAGCTTCGGGTTGCTGGGAGGGGGATCTGTTGATGGATTTGTCAATTTGTCTAAATCTGCCAGCAAATCTCTTTCTAAATTCAGCCTGCTTCACCCTACAGAAGCATTAGCCCTCACGTCACAAACTCGTTTCCTTCCCCCTTCCCCCATGAGGGCTCCATTCTATGTTATTGTTGCAAAACAGTACGATCACATCTTGCATGCAGTTAGGTTGCACTATTGCAACCTTGCACGGCTGGCTTGTTGAAACGACGCAAATTAATTGCATGCAAGGTAGAGAGCCTGGCACAGAGAGAGCTTTTAAGCTCTCTGCCTTGCTCACAGGGATCTGGAATTGTCTTGTGGGAACTTGGATGGCCCTGTGAGAGCCTCTCAGAGCGCTGTAAGCTAGGTGGAGAGCTTAAAGCCTCCCTGCCTCGCTTAGAAAACAAGGGCGGTTATGTGGAGCTGGTTCAGGTATATGCGTTTTTGCATCCCCAGAACACACACAAGACATGGCCTCCCTCAAGTAATACTTCACTCTTTATGTATGCAAAAATTTTGTCAACTAGAAGTTCAGAATTTAGGTGAATTCAGCCATGATCAGGCAAGGAATCTAAAAAGAGCCTCTTTATAAGGGGTGGGGGGCCTTCATATATCGCTGGGGTACAGTTCCCATCATCCCTGGCCATTGACCGTGCTGGCAGTCCAACAACCTCTGAATTGCCACAGGTTCCTTATTCCTGCTCTACATGACCAGAAGCCTCTGGCTGCCTGTAGCAGCTGCTGACAGGTGCTACTGCTGGCAAGTCCTTTTTCAGCCTTCTCTCCGCTGTGCTGTTGCAAACCCCCTCATTCACCTGCTGGCAGTTCAGGGATTTTTCTTGCAGCACCAAAGGGGAACAACAAGTTCTTTGTTCCATTTTGGAACAAGGCTGATGCTAAGACTTGTTTGCCCTGCAGTGCTGAACTTGGAGCAGGAAGGCCATGGGGCATAGAAAGGGCTGGAATCGGCTTCTCTGGAGCACCCTACTGCATTGGCTACCTATTAGTTTCTGGGCTCAATTCAAAGCTTTGGTTTTGACCTATAAAGCCTTAAATGGCACAGGATCGCAATACCTCAAGGACTGCCTCTTCCCATATGAACCTACCCAGACACTGAGATCATTCTCTGAGACTCTGAGATCATTGCGTGCCTCCTCCAGGAGAGGTCCAAAGGGTGGCAACATGAGAACAGGCCTTTTCTGCAGTGGCTCCCCACTTGTTGAATGCTCTTCCTAGGGAGACTTGCCTGGTGTCTTCATTATACACCTTTAGGCACCAGGTAAAAACGTTTCTCATTCATCAGACCTTTGGCTGATTGACATCTGATGCCCTTTTAAATGTGTTGTGGATGGGAGGACTATTGAGTTGTCTTTGTTTTTGTTTTTATTATATATTCAGTGTTTTTTATATTGTGAACCGCCCTGAGATTTATGGGTATAGGGTGGTATTAGGAAAGAAAGAAAGAGAGAGAGAGAAAGAAAGAAAGAAAGAAAGAAAGAAAGAAAGCTAATAGCTGCTACAGCCAGCCAGAGGCTTCTTGACCACATGGAAGCTCTTTTGGGGGCTGTAGACCTCCAGAGGGATTCCAGGGATTTTGAGCTCTGTTTGGGTCTCAGTTATAGAATCGTAGGGTTGGAAGGGACCCTGAGGAATGCAGTAATCATGACTAAAGCATCCCTGTCAGATGGCCATCCAACTCTGCTTAAAAACCTCCAAGGAAGGAGAGTACAGCACCTTCCAAGGGAGTTCATCCCACTGTCGAACAGCTCTTACCATCAGAAAGTTCTTCCTGATGTTTAGTCAGAACCACATTTATTGTAACTTTGAAGTCATTGTAGAACAACAATGGAGTCGCATCCATTGCTCAGCTACTGTTTGCCTCTGACTGCATCTGCTGCTGGCATGTGGCCCCAGGAAGATTCCTCACCAGTCAATGTGGCCCTTGGGCTGAGAAAGGGTTCCCCACTAACGACTTAAGCATGGACACGTCTAATCTATGCCCACCAGCTTGCTGCACACCCCTTTCATTGATACTGTAGATTAGACAATGTAGATGAAGGTTATCCTTACAGATTCACTGTCTGAGACAGAGGAGAGCCGTCTGTTTCCTCTTGGCAGCCCATTCATATCAGAGGACTGGCTGGTGACAGTGAAACGTCTGGTGGAAGGGAAGCTGTTAGATCTGGAGTCCTTATGAGAAACCCTTAGCAGAGATCCAAGGCAGGGAAGAAATTTTGCAATCGCCATTCTAAGGGATAAGAAATTAAGCCCATCAGTCTTTTTTCTACCTCTGGAAGCACAAAACACAGACTAAAACATTTCTGTCCTTTCCGACACAAGCTAAAAACGTACATTCATTCAGAGAGGGAGAGGGGAAGAGCGTGAGAGAGGCCATATTGCATTAAAGACCTTATTGGACTATAAAAGGATATGACTGCACTGTGGAATCCAGTTTACAGTTGTGTGCATTAGCCTGTACACAGGCAGAAACACATGTTGACGGTGTTTGTTCCCACCAGTATCAAAATATAGCAGGAAATCCTGATTGCTATCTGCATCATGAAATGTGAAAGGAAGCTGCTCAGATGAATGTGCACTCTTTGGGTCTGCAGATGTGGTTTGGGTCCCAGCATACGACATGTAAGCTGCCTCCAGTTAGGCATTACCCTTGCTAGATCAGGAGTGCTTCAATACAAAAAGGAACGGATGCTTGCATTTTCATTTCAGCTGGCAGAATCTCCACATGGTGGGTGAGCAGTCCATGTGTGGCAGCTTGACAATGGGGACCCCTGCTGCTACTTGGTTTTCTCCTTATGAACAACAAAACTATCTGATCTTAAACACTGACATGCCTGCAAACTTCACGGGCATGCATACCAGTCACTGTATATATTATTTATATATATATATACTCATTTTACAGTCATATGATCTTTACCATTCAAGAACTGTCAAGCAAAGAGACTTCATCAATTCAGCAAAAACAACTCATTTTGCCTGGGGTTTTTTCTGACTTTGCATTTAAGATGGAGACCATTTGAGGAGCCAGATGCTGGGATTTTTGACAGTTGAGTATAGCTGAGCATAAGAAGGGGCTGTCGATGGGTGCTGCTTGTGAGAAAAGCTGCACCTGCTTAAATCCCCTGTATGTGCACTTGTAAATTGTTACTAGCCTGCTGAAATGCTAGTATCAATTTCCATGCATGACATGGGGCCAGAGTGGCTAGTGAAACAATTTTTGCCTTTTCACTGTGGGCTGGTGGAGGAGGGATGGGTCTGATGGATGGGTTTTCCTCCCTCCTTAGTCAGTGTAGAAACCAAGCAGACTGGCAGAGGAGGAACAGAGAGATCAGGCCCTCCTCCATGAGCCCACTCGCTCATTGGCATGGAAACCTTTACTGCCGACACCTACCAGGTGAGATGTTAAATATAAGATAGTGTTAATATTACAGAAGTGGCATCCCGCATTGCTTGCGGTTGCCCTAAAAGAAGACCTGTCACTGGTTGCAAGCCCCAGTTCTTTACAAAAGGTGAAGCTTACCTGTATTTGGGGTGGGCAATGGCGTAAACAATTGGGTTGTAGATGGATGAAGCTTTGGCAATCACTGCAGGTATTGTGTTCATTAAGGGAGTGAGCACATGGGAGTACCTAAAGCAAAGCAAACACACTTTCTTAGATTTAATTCTGCCAGGGTATGGCTACTGTCCCTTTCCCCCTTTTACATAACATACTATACTTTTGAATGCTCCTCCACAAAGTTCTTCAAAGTGCTAGTCCACAATGGATAAATTCAGACACGCAAAATCTTCTAAATGATGCACCTCGGCTGAACTTAGGAGCACATTCACATGGAAAACAGATTTATCAGCCTCCTCCCTGCCCAAAGGCATGCATTTAAAATAATGAAAAACCTTGATCTGAAGCAGCAACTCAGCAACGGCATAATTAAATAGATAATTAAGTAGATTAAAAGCAAGATCCTCTATTAAAACAGCAACATCACCTGTCCAACACTGCAAAACAATGCACACAAGCAATTAAAAAAACAAATCGCTGAAGCACAGCATCAGCAATTGAAAAAGAACACTGTGGCCATTAAAAAAATTCAACAACAAAAAAGTGGCAGCTGGAGTAAAAGCAGGAAGACCAGGAAGGAATGCCCAACAACAAGTGGAATCAACAGCATCTGCCTTGGTAGCAAAAGTGTTTTGAAACGAGAGCATCTTCACCTGTTAGCTGAGAAGTGCTATGGAACTGGTCATGTGGCTTTCCACTGATAAGCTGTTCCATGGTGTATGAATGATGAAGAGGAGGCAGCCATGACCTTTTCTAATTTTATTGGGGGACAGTGATATGAAGGCACATAAGGCCACCATATCACTTAAGTACAGCAAGTCTGGATATGGTTAGTGTCTAGGTGGAACAACCTGTGTGGCACCAGGGGTTCCACGACTGAAGGAGGGATGGGTGGATGACCAGGCAAAAACCTTCCCTGTGATCTCAGAGAAAGAGGACCACAAGGAACTTATGGCAGCAGTGAAGCCAAACTCCAGCTTGTTTATTTATGGAATTAATATCCTGCCATTCCTCCCCAAAGCTGAAACAAGCATCAGCCAGCCAACATTCCTGAGCTTAAGCTGGAGATACATTTCTTTTGTTTTGCTCTGATCAGAAGCTGAGTTACAGAGTTCTGCCCCGGTTGAAACTTCCAAGCCAGCTTCAAGAGCCATCCACAGATATGATTTGAGCTTTCTGGAGATGATTTCTGCAGCCACAACAATGGCATCTTTTTCAGCCATTAATAATATGGGCTTTCCTCCCTAGGTAGCTGTGACTTTATCTGTGTTACAGTCTCCTTGTCAAAGCATCCCTGGGGATGGTGGAACGGGTGGCATCATGTGGAAAAAGGTGTTTGGGGTTTGTTTGTTTTTTGCATGTCCGCACTGGCCAGTATCCTCAATTCCAGGTAAATCTTAAAAAATGTGTCTATAAGATCAAATACTGTACCGGGAGTTGGGTGGCTAACACATGCCACATTTATAATCTCCTCTACTTTGGTTACAGCTGCCGATTATAAGGAACTTCCTTCAGTAAAGCACCTGGATTCATTGGTTGGCCATTTGTGGTGTGCTTCATTCACTGTTTCTGTTAGAATCATAGAATCATAGAGTTGGAAGAGACCACAAGGGCCATCGAGTCCAACCCCCTGCCAAGCAGGAAACACCATCAGAGCACTCCTGACATATGGTTGTCAAGCCTCTGCTTAAAGACCTCCAAAGAAGGAGACTCCACCACACTCCTTGGCAGCAAATTCCACTGTCGAACAGCTCTTACTGTCAGGAAGTTCTTCCTAATGTTTAGGTGGAATCTTCTTTCTTGTAGTTTGGAAATGTTCTCATTTCATTTCCCCCAGGCCCCTTGCAGACATAACAAGATTTTTTGATTACCCTGCAAAAGCCAGCAAAGCTACCATCGAATATGGAGACCAGGAGAGGACATAAAGCAAGATGATAACCAGGGCTACTTTGGCCATTTTCCATTCATTCGTCATCCTCTGGGACAGCCTTTGAGATTCTTTTGTACCATCTGAACTGATGGTTTGAACAGCCCTGAGGAAAAGAACATAACATGAATGAAGGAACAAAAGTGAGGTCTGCTTACGCAGAATGCCACTTGTTTATTTATTACTGGCTCAATGCTATTTATATCCAAAGGTCCACTTTCATGAATGGAAGCACATAGATGTGTTTGTGTTGTTAATTTGCCCTTTTCACAGATGCAGCTTCAGCAGTCCCTGAAAAGCCATTTGGGAGGGTTAGGGACTCTCAACATAGGAAGCCAACTTGTACTGAGTCAAGCTATATGTGCATCAAACTCAGTATTGTCTCTGACTGTTTTGGTGGCTCTCCAGAATCTCAGGCTCCCATCATCAGCTTTTTGATATTTTATCAGAGTTGAACTTTGAACCTTCCACAGGCAAAGCACATCTGCACTGAGCCATTATGATTATGGTCCCTCCTTCTTCTGCTCTGGAGCAGAATGCAACATGATGGAGGGAGCTGCGTCTGGGGCAAAATCACAAACTCCAATTATATGAGAGTGCTTCTGCTTCTGCATGTGGATCTTTGAGTGCAAGCATGTGGCTTTCTTTCCCCAATATAATCAGTCACAAGATTTTCATCCACAAGAAGCAGCTGGTAAATCGGGCATGAAAAATTCAAATCTTCGGCATGTGCTGCCAAAACCTTCATTATCTTGCCAGGCTCATCCATCAATACAAGCTCAAAACTGTTTCAGAGATGTTGATTTGTTATCGTTACCAATAAAGGGACCCTAAGAATTACAGCTCTGAGACAATGAGGGTGCCAGAGATCTCTAATATTAGCACCTTCAAAAAAAGTACATTTCACAACTTCTTCAGGGCAAGTGATTTTCAGTGAGGTTTAAGCCTGCAGTGTAGAACTGCCCATTGTGTATACCCCTCAATCTGAGTGTGCAGTGTGCATGCAATGCCATTTTCAATCTGATCATGCTGCAAAGGTGTTAAACTTCTACCCTCCCTTCTTCCTGTATCATTCTTTTTTCACTTAACATGCCTTCTCCCCATCTTCAGCTTTATGCAACAAAAATGCAGGTGTCATTTCTTATTAGGTGGGATAGCACAGTTGGTAGAGCAGGAAACTCTTAATCTCAGGGTTGTGGGTTCAAGCCCCATGCTGGACAAAAGATTCCTGCATTGCAGGGGTTTGGATTAGATGACCCTCAGGGTCCCTTCCAACTCTACAGTTCTATAGAATAACAGTCATAGAGTTAGAAGGGATGAGGATCATCTGGTCCAACTCCCTGCAATGCAGGAATATGCAGCTGCCCCATACAGGGATCGAACCTGCAACCTTGGCTATATCAGCACCACATTCTAACCAACTGAGCTATCCAGGTTCTTGATGATTCTGATTCTTGTAGATGACCACACATTCTCCTCATTCCTTCCTGTGCCTATCAATCCTGGGGAAGGATTCTCCAAGACAGCTCTCAACAGCAGCAGAACAAATTGTGCAAATTATGAAAATAGAAGCAAACTGGACTAATAATGATGCTTTAGAGTAGACCCACTGAAATCGATAGGACTTCTCAACCAGTGTGCTCCAAGCATCAAGGGAGTCTGGATCTAATCCACCGTTAAGTGCTTTCAAAAGAATACATTAAATAAAGCAAAATCTAATAAAAAAGATGGGAAAGGGGGACAGACACCAAAGAAGGGATATAACCATTGGCAGAATTTATACAGGTTGCAGAATTTTGCTTTCCATGTTCGTTTTAAAGCAAAGAGTACCAACAGCTCTGAATTAGATTTACCTTCCATCCAATACATCATGTCAGTTCTTAATTGCAACCCTGGTTCTCATTCATCTTTCTAAATTAGACTCAAGTAAAATCTGATTCGTCTCTGTCTGTTCCAATCCTCGGATAATTCATGGAGCTATTCTCCAAATCAGACACCCTAATATCTCTCTGAAATCTGATCCAAGTGCCTATCAAAATGATGTGGGAACTTGGTACAGAATCTACAGCCGTTTTTGCCTGCACTTCATGTTCCTGTTTTGTTTCCTACTGGCTGGAGGTCACAACTTTGGGGGGAAGGGGGTGGGGGACAAAGTAACCTTCCACTGACGCAAATAATGGGAAGCACATGCGTGACTCACCTGTTTGTATTCCGGATGGCTCTGAAAATGAAGAAATAGCTGTATATGATGGCAATTAGGGGAATGAAGAACACAAAGCAAAAGAGAAGCATTGTGTAGGCACGGACCGATGGGGTGAAGGTAATATAATCCCAGGAGCAAGATGTCAGGAGGCCTTCCGGAACATAAGCACCTTAGCAGAAAGACAAGGGGGGGAAATAAGCTTTTCCTCCAAAAGTTATTGGAATTTAAATTTAAAATGCAATCAGAAATTTAATTTCAAGCTTACTAAAGCTGTGCAATAATGCTGTAATTCACATTTTGTTTGCTTGCTTTAGAAAGTCTGTAGTTAACTCATAGGATTCATTGCCGCGTAATCTTGTGGCAATTTAACAACTAGCAAATTTATATTCTGGACTACATTTTTGTGGACTACATCCCACCTTATCAGATCCATGAACTGTTTTCCTGTGCTGCAGATCAGCAATAGCTAATACTGAGCTGGGTGGACCAAGACTAGATGTCTCTGTATAAGACAGTTTCCATAGGAAGGGAATAGTGAAAATCACCAGTATGCTGCACATGTGCAAGTGAGTTGTGCTTGCACAAGAGACTTCCACTTACGGAAGAGTACCTTAGGATGCAAGCTATTGCACTGAGGTGATTAATATCCTGAAACTGAATAAAGACAATAATACTGGTCCATTATGAATTTGTGTTACAGTGTAAACAAGTTCAGTGCAGCTCAGATCTGACATTGTCCTCTCCTTGCTTCAGCTCCTAGAAGACTCCTGGTGTCCCATTACAGAGATGGTTTTTAATTTATCAACCTTGCTCTGGCCGCAAGCTAGATTGTGCAGACTGACACCTCGCTATTCCCTGCTGCTAATGGAAGAAGGTTTATTTGATAGGCTTTGATGAACAACTAACACATCTCCTTTTGTTGGCTAAAAAGAACCATACCTCTTGCGACCAAGCACAAGATGAAACAGATTATTAAAGCTCTCGCTAAAACCACCAGCAGAATAGAAATTAATTTGGTACATATAATTAAGTTTGCGGTTAAATAAACATTGTTTTTAAAGAAACACAAAAGAAATAGGAACTATTCTCCTGATGGATGTTGTGTAGGAATGCAATTAACTGCGGACATTAAACTGCTGTAGCCTGGGCGATTCCCAGCATTCCTACCAATAACTTCTATCTTTTCTGCTTTGGGAAATGTCACACCAGATGTTGAGCCCAGCTTTCCCTATTGGTCCCGTGAGAGTGCATATTTTGGATACAATGAGAATCTAATTATAAACCAGTGATTCTAATACTCTGTAAGTGATTATTCTGCTTCATCAAATTATGCCTCTTTTTGAAGTGCGCTTTCTCATATTGCCCTCTAAAGCTATTCGTGAAACGAAAGAGTCTCTTGTCAAAGCAACTGAAATTTGCTTTTGGTGCATCTTGCATGGATAACGCATATTGAGTTGGTTTTTATGAGGCCTCAGCCCTGGTCAGCTTGTTAGCCACACAGAGACCTTTGCCACAGGTGACATGACAGGAAGGGCAGGAGATTTGCAGGTCCTCATTGGCCAACAAATCAATCTCCACCATTTGGCACTCCGGGAAGACTGCAGTTGCTGCAGCAAGGTATTCCATAGCCCTCCTCCCCATGCAAGAATGCTCGCTCTGAGCTGAGATGTCCTCAGAGTCTGCCTGTGCCACTCCTGTCTTCCCAGAGCAGAGATAACAGTAGTAAACAGGTAAACTAGTAAATTCTTGAGCTTATTATTATTATGATTATTTGTAGTAACAGCCCACCCATCACCAAACAGTCCCAAGGCAGGATAAAAAAACATAACAATTCAAATGAGTACAATGTACAATTAAAATCATAAAATAAAACCCACAAACACAACCAATATCAGAGCGACAAAGCAGCAACACAGAAATGCAATGCACAGCAACGCAGGATAGGGGAAGATGTCCACTCAGTCAAAGACCTGGGCAAAAAGGCACATCTGTCAATAAACATGTGCTGATAGTGCAAGGCACACCTGATTCGAGCTATTTTCCATGTGCTCCCTCCCAACTGTGGACTTTATTTTGAAATGCTACGTAAATTAGGATATGGTATGGAAATTCTGTTTCACAACTAGATGGATTGGAGGGAATTAGCAGGCCAACTCTTCAATTAGGTTAGGAAACAAGCTCTGATTGCCCTGTAAAACCTATTACAATGTTATCCTCATATTATTTCTACTCCGTATGATTTGCTATGTGCTTTATTGCTTCATGATTCTATGTTTTGATTAAAAGCTCAGAACATCATTCTCTTTCGCATGAAGATAGCAATATGCTTTGAATGGCACATTGCACATCAGCAAACCAACAGAGCTGTTTCAATTACAATTCTGAGTTTCTTATTTCTATCTATGCTCTACTCCCTATCTCACTGGGTTGCTAATGAACAATTTGAACTTTGAAATAACAGTAGTGCACTGGCCGGGTAAACCCTAACACTGATTGGATCTCCAAATTAGCACCTGGGGGGGGGAGAGGCAATGAATATTCAATTTTACTGCCCCCTCCCATAAACTTGCACCTAGCACCCCATCTCTTTGACATACTGTGAAAACTTAACCTTAGAGCACAGCAAAGTAGTAAAATGTTGGGAACTGGATCAAACACACATACTATTCCATGTCGTCAAGGCTTTCAGTATGGCCCCATTGTGAACAATGAATCTATATGAAAATCAGGAAAATATCCTGTATTTATTCATGCCTATTACTTATGCTGTTCAGCTCAGCTTGAATGCAGAAGGTTATGCAAATGTTATGCAAGATGCCCCCCCCCATTATTTTTCATCCCTGATTTTATCTCCTCTTTTCTCTGTAATTCGCTAATGAGTTTCCCAGCACAGGCGTCACTGCAATGTAATTGAATGGACCGTAAGCACTACAAAGCTTTTCCCCTTGGTTATATGTCTTAGAGATTTGTTTGCTCCGAACCCGTCTCCCTTACAGAGAATTTCTTCCTGTTAAATATGTAAATCCTCTTTCATCTGTCACAAGCTCTAAAAGGCCCATTCTATAAATTCCTGCTTTTCCTCTCAGTATCAAGTAATCAGATTTTTAAAAATTCTGTCTCACTTACTCCATCCAAAGAAGGGAGGAAGGCTCCATGCTAAGGAATACAGCCAGACTCCTAACAGGATTAGCAAAGCTTTCTTCTTAGACATTACTCCAATGGAAGCCAAGGGTCGCGTAATCACAAAGTACCTGTCCAGGGCTATCACTGTTAGAGTGATCATGGAAGCAATGCCGAAAAGCGCTCCGCAGAAAGCGTACAGCTCACAACCTTTCCGGAAAGAGCACAGCAGAGTTAGCAGGCAAATCAAAATGCACACTTATTTTACTTGATTTAATCATATACACTAGGTGCGTGTAGGAAGGGACTTATTCGCCATTTCGATTTCTCTTGCTTTAAATTCACTTATCCACATTTCCACACCGTTTCATGGTGATGATGATAATTTTAAGTTCTCATTTGAGATTTGAAGCATTTGAGATTATTTTCTCCTAGTATGCACATGTTGGGAAGCAATTTTCACTAATGTAGAGAATTTCTGCAAAGCAATTTCCCCCAATATAATGGGTGGAATATAAGAAATATTTAATGGAAGCCACCCAGAGTGGCTGGGGCAATATTAGTCATCCTCCTCCTCCTCCTCCTCCTCAGGTTACAACAGCAAGGGGAACATCACCTTCAAGCCCCAAGAATGGCTTTTCTTGACCAAAGAGGCAGGGTGTGTGAAAAATTGGGAAACCATCAACAAACTATTATAAATTCCTTGTTAAGTCTTCAGTGACAGTTGATTAAAAACAACAACAGCAGCAGTCCCACTGGCAATCTGATAAACTTCCAAGCCAGCCTGTTCAGTCTAAATGATTTGGGGGACAATCTGTTTCTAACATACCCTTTTCACCAAATACCCATCGTTTGTTGAGACTGCTGGTGAAGAAAACTGGACACTGGGTGACGGCCATTAGGAAATCACTAACAGCCAGGTTGATAATGAACATGTTGGCAGGAGTCCGAAGGCCTCTGCTCCTGTGAGAGAAGAGAGGAGAATGAATGCAAGTAACTCTTAAGAGGGTGTCAGGGCTACGGCCTCATCTGCACCTTACATTGAAAGCGGTGTCACACCACATGACTTCCTCAAAGCATCCTTGGGACTGTTGTTTGTTAAGAGGTCTCATTCCCCTCACAGAGCTCCACCTCCGAGTGGTTTAACAGTAAATCCTCTTCCCAGGGAGCTCTGGGAATTGTAGCTCAGGGTTAACAACTCTCTTCACCCATAAGAAATGACATTTCCCATAATTCTTTGGAGGAAGCCATGACTATTTAAAGTGGTATGACACTGCTTTAAACATGCAGTACAGACTAAGATGTTCAAAACAAGCAGCAAGACCAAAAAAAAAAGAAAAAGGTAAGCAACTTACGGTACCAGTGTGGGCAGATTCGTATTTTCACACACACACACACACCAGAAATTGAATTGGAGCCCCATCTTTACAGCAGGGGTAGCCAACTTTTGTGTTTTGGGGTGCTTCTGTATTCTGAAGATATTGGTCCAAAGGTCTGAGGTAGATTTTACCAAGGCAACTGAGATGATCATGAGTGAGGGCTTCCCAAGACACAGGCTTTCATCTATCAGTACAGCCTTCCCAGTTATAGAGAAATGCATTCAGGCAGAGCATTGCCTACAAATAGGTATATTTGCATGATATGTGCAAAGGAAGCTCATTCGTAGAGCATCTGCTTTCCATGGAAGAGGTTGCAGGTTCAATCCCCTGTTCAACCTCTCCATGTAGGGCCGGGAATGTCCCATGGTTGAAGCCTTGGAGAACCAGTCCCAGCCAGTATAGATAATATTGAGCTGCAAGTGAAAGGGTGGTGCTGTAAAATTTGGTAGGGCCACCAGTTGGTAGTGGTCAACTATTCAAAACAGAGTGGCGCACATGGACAGGCTTTCACCACTAGCCCAGTGACACAAATAGAATGCCCGCCTCTCTGAATGCTCTGTCCTACATTTCTCCGCTGCTGGTGATTAACGGGAAATTAAAGCAGATGTACTATGGATTTTCTGCATCTGGGTCATATTGTATAGGGAGGCCATTTTCCACTGCTGGCCAGATTAGCAGCAGTTTCCAAATACAGGGATTAGATTCAATGGTTTTGTATGTGTTTTAATCACCAGCAACATTAATAACTGAAGAAGGTCCCTTCTTTTACTTTATTCTGCTGGCAACCTACACTATTTGAGGAAAAAAACAAGGAGGAAATGTCATGGCCCCAGACCCTGAGCCCTCAATTCCTGAGCAGTCATAGCACCAAGGTGGAAATGGATGCACACCTAGCTCATCCTGGGTAGACCTGGTGTGTCACCAGATTCCACACCTCACCCCCCCAAACATCAAGGATGTACCTTCATCTATGGACTCCGAAGAATGTTCTAATGACCCCTTCAAGGATCAAGGTAGTATCCATGGACCAAGTCTGTGAAACCCCAAACCTCACAGCCTGAAAGGAGCACCAAAGGATGCTTGTCCTTTAACTACCTATAAGCCTTCAGTGGACCCTTGAGAACAGACCACAATGCTCTAGCACAGGGGTCCCCAACCTGCAGCCCATGGGCCAGAAGCAGCCCACGGAGGCTGTTTAACCGGCCCACAAGCCACCCCCTGAACTGAGCTGTCTGCTCGACGATTCCCTGCATGCTGCGCTAAACCAGCAGAGTGCGGCACAGGGACTCTCTTCCATGGCTCCAGAAATTGTGTCTGCGCATGTCCGCTGTGCCGAAAATTGCTTCTGTGCAGGTGCGATTTCTGGCACCGTGCTGTGCTGGTCTGGCCCACGGAGGATCTCTGCGGGAGTGATTTGGCCCATGCCTGGTAAGCCTTGCCAACCCCTGTGTCTAGCAGTTGCACCAAGCTTGTGCTTCTGTAAGAGTGCTGGCCATGGTCCTGAAACTCTTGCTCTTGAACTCTGACCCAGCACCCTTGGCACCCATAGAAATGTAGAGTTGGAAGGTACCTCAAAGGTCATCTAGTTCAACTCCCTGCAATGCAGGAAGCTCAGCTAAAGCATCCATAACAGATGGCCATCCAACCTCTGCTTTAAATCTCCCAGGAAGGAGAGTCCACCACCTTCTAAGGGAGTCTGTTCCACTGTCAAACAGCTCTTCCTGTCAGAAAGTTCTTCCTGACGTTTAGCCAGAATCTCCTTTCTTGTAACTTGAAGCCATTGGTTCACGAGAAAACCTCTGGATCGGAAGAAAACAGCCTTGCTCCATCTTTCATGTGACAACAGTTTAGATATTTGAAGGTGACTATAATATCTCCTCTCCCTCTTCTCTTTTCTAAGCTAAACATACACAATTCCTTAACCATTCCTCATAAGACTTGGTTTCTACACCCTTGATCATCTTGGTCACCCTCCTTTGCACACGTTCCAGTTTGTCAATATCCTTTTTAAATGGTGGTGCCCAGAACGAGACACAGTACTCCAGGTTTGGTTTGACAAAAGCAGAATAGAGTGGTACTATTACTTCCCTTGATTGGGACACTATACTTCTGTCTATGCAGCTTAGAATGGCACGAGCTTTTTTTTGTCGCTGCATCACACTGTTGACTCATGTTAAGCTTGTGGTCTACTAAGAACCCCAGATTCTTTCCACATGTACTACTCGCAAATTGGATGTCACCCATCTTATATTTGTGCAGCTGGTTCTTTCTGCCTAAGTGTAGAAAATGACATTTGTTCATATTGAAATTCATTTTGTTAGTTTGGGCCCGGTTTTCCAATCCGTTAGGGTCATCTTGAATCTTGTGGCATTGAGTCTTCTGCAGCATTAGCTACCCCTCTGAGTTTGATGTCATCTACAAATCTGATGAACATCCCTTCAATTCCTTCATCCATGTCATTAATAAAGGTGTTGAACAACAACCAGCCCAGGACAGAACCCTGTGGCACCCCGCTTGTCCCTTTCCCCCAGGATGGTGGTGATCCATTAATTAGCACTCTTTGGGTTTGGTCAGTCAACCAGCTACAAATCCACCTAACAGTAACCTTGTCCAGTTCACATTTGACCCACTTGATATTGGGCAGCATGTGACTGAAGAGCCCCAGTAGCAATAAACATCAAGCTCAATCCCATTACTAAAATGAGACCATACCACAGTTGCTTTTCCTGGCTTCTTCTCATGAGATCTTGACACTACACATCCATTGCTTAATATTCTCTACAGCCTCTGGCCTAGTTCCCATTGAGGTGGTTTACCTTAATCTGAACTGAAACCCTTAAGAATATAGTTGACAACTGAGTCCAGCCATACAAACATGTTTCCTGCACGAAGAAAGCTATCATGACAGGAAAAGGGCTGCGTTTTGACATTACTGCTTGAAATCAAGTTTTCCAAGCAGAGGGATTTTTTTTTTCATATTGAGGACCACACAACTACACAAGCCCCCCACCCCTCAACCAGCATCCTGCAATACCGCCCAGATATAGGTTAATACTTCATTGAAAAAGTAGGTCTCTGTCATTCCCTTTAAAAGCACAATTAAGAAAGGAAGCCTGTATAATAAATGTATGTGTACATACACACACACACACAGAGAGAGAGAGAGAGAGAGAGCACTAGGGAAACACAAATCAAGATGCCTTGAAAATAGTGGAACATTCCGTAGGCATCAACAGAGAACCGATTTTCTGTCAAGGGCACCTCGTTTCAATACCGTTAAGTTTGTCTTGGAATGGAAACATTGATTCCTCAGGCTCTTTTCCTAACTGCTTTCCTTCAAACAAATGCACACTGTTTATACAGTTCGCCGTTTCAAGAGCTTCCTGAGAACTCACCATGCAGAACAGTTTAAGGAATAAAATGCAATAAGAGAAAAGTGCCCAGTTAAGATTCAAAATTACTGAACTAGATGGATCAACAATATACTAGGATTGTTTCCTAGATACATTCCAATGTCCTCTGGTGCTGCTAGCATGGAAACCTATCCCGGGGAATACTGCGCAGCAGAAAGTAACTGTGTTGAATACCTGCAGAAAGCAAAGATGACCAGGAGGTTACCAAGAGTTCCTGTGATCCCCACTGCGAGAATGACAGCCCCGATGGTATAGTGGGTGGGGGCTGGGACGTTCACTGTCGGGAAAGGGTGTGGGGGATTCAGCATCGTCAGCTCCTAGAGGGGAAACAGAATGGCAGAAATTCACAAAGGCCCCATTGTCTTTCACCCACCAGAAGGGCAGGTATTCCGATGTCTCCTGGCGAGAAAGAAGAAAGTCAAAATCTGGGTGGAGCAAATATTTCAGAGAATATTTTCCAACCAGATTTGCTCATCTTTCAAATGTAAACACTGTAACTATGGATGACGGAGCTGCTTTGGTTTGCATTCACTAAGCTTTAAAGCATGGGAGTTTGTGCAGAAGTAAAGCTAAAAGGACCTCCTTGCCACCGAAAGAGAAAAGAATCCACATGGATCTGTTTTATGTATTAGCTACACCATAAACTTATATCAGCTTTATACATCTTCTCTGCCCCCGAGAATTCTGGAAATTGTAATTTTGTGAGAACTCACTGTTAGGGATCTCTAGGCCACCCTCCTTGTTGCAAAACAATTCCCAGGATTCTCTAGGGAGAAGGAAGGACACACATTTTAGCATCTGGTGTATATAAGGCTCCAAGGAAGGTAGTAATCAACATCCAGTGAGCTCCATGCCTGTGCTTACTCAGTGATGATAATGATGATATAAAAATAATAATACCCAGGTAATTCAAATACTGTGCCAAGAAAAGCTGTCACCTGTATGTATTCAAATTCAATGGATTTGAATGATTTCAGTACTCCCAGTGAAGGGGACAGAAAATAAGCTGTGCATGGGATGGGATCCCTGATCCACCCACTGGAAATCTTAATTTAGCTATACTCAGCCTGTTCCCCCACAACTATCCCCCTTCTTTTTGTAACTTGCAGCTTGATGCCCTGGGCTCCTTTGAGAGGAAGAGCAGGACATCCATTCAATGAATGAATGTAGAGTCCTAGAGAACTCAAAAGCTTGCTTGCTATTATGTGACATTTTGGCTGGTCCTAATCAAGGCTTTGCCTAACTGTGGATTTTGGGAATACAGTGGTACCTCGGTATTGGAATGTAATCCATTCCGAAAGACCATTCAAATTCTGAAACGTTCAAAAACCAAAAACTCAATAGCCGACAGCTGGGCCTCAGGATCTTGCACTCAGCAGAAGCTGCGTTTCATGTTCGACTTCCGAGGCGTGTTCGAAAACCGAAGCATTTACTTCTGGGTTTACAGCATTCGAAAACCGAAATGTTCATCAACAGAGACGTTCAAAAACCAATGTACCACTGTATTATTTTAGTTCTATGCATCCTCCTATGCATCCGCTATGCTCCTCTATGCATCCACCTCCTGCTTTTTGTAACTTCTAGTTTGACGAAGAGCACAAGAAAACTTGACAGCTTACTCACTTCTCTATCTTGTGACACTTTGGTCGGTCAAAACAAAGGCATTGCCTTACTGTGGATTTTGGAGTTGGTGTTGTTTTCACCTTACAGGCCAATGTTGTGTGTATGTGTGTGTGTGTGTGTGTGTGTGTGAGAGAGAGAGAGAGAGAGAGAGAGAGAGAGAGAATTGCAAAAACACCACAATTCATTTATGTTTAATGCCACACTCTTCAGAAGAACACCATCAATTGCAGAAATGCATCAAGCCCAAAGTGTTCCATCAAACCATTGAAGAATGAGGTGCAAAAAGAATCTTGCATCTAAGGCTTCAGGCCACTTGGTGCCAGTATACTTTCATTGTATTGCTAGGACATGAAGGCAGCATTCAAGCAACAGCACCTTCAGTCTAAGAACCCAAACCCCGCTTCATGCTGCTACTGAAAACAACTGGGGATAGATGTTTTCCTCTTTAGGAACATCGACACAATTCAAATCGCTCGTGACAATAATGAAGGAAAATGCAAAGAATGTCCTTTTTTTTAATAGGCCTTTCTCATGCAGGTCCCTCTGGGGACCCTTTTGAATGAAGAGGGGTCCTTCCTCACCTGCAGAAGGACAGAAAGCAGTTTGCTGAAGTTGCTGGAAGGCAGGCACAATGGCAACCTATCAGGATCCCTATCCTGGGAGTCCAAGAAGCTGTGGCTTAGAGTGTAAACCTTAGATGATGATGATGAAGAAGAAAAAAGAATGTGGTGGGGTTGGGGGTCTAGGATAAGGCAGGTATTTATAAAATTTATGCATGGAGTAATGGAGGAGTCCCCTCCCCTACATTTCTCATGGCATGAGAATCGATGCAACTGGCTGGCAACAGCATCAGGGCAGTCCAGAGGAAGGACTTCTTTGCATAATGCACTTTTGACTTGTTGGATTCCCTCCTCAAGAAGGGGTGATAACAGTCAGTTTTATTATTATTATTATTTTATTTTTATTTTGCTTTAAACAAATACAGATAAATATAAACAACTGAAATCACAAAAGAAAAATCCTTGATGATAATAATAATGGAAAAGGCTAAAAAACTACAAAAAATATCAAAGGACATGGCATAGAACATAAGCCATTTTGGGAAAGAAAAAAGAAGAAAGAAAGAGGAAAGAAGGAGAAGGAAGGGGGGAAAGGGGGGGAGGGGAATGAGCCAAAACACAAGAAGGCTTGTCTATTGTACTCTTCCATCGAGGTGACAACAGATCATTATTCTTATCAATTCTCTCTATCTGCATTCCATAGAATCCCTCATCTTGGTATCAGGGATCATTTCCCTATGCACTTTTGACTTGTTGGATTCACTCCGCAAGATGGGGTGATAACAGTCAGTTGCTTAGATGGATAGATTACACAAATTCGCAGGTGTCAGGCCAACAAATAGCTAAATGGAACTTCCATAGTCAGAGGCAGTATACCTCGGAATGTCAGAAGGTGGGGAGAGAAACAGCATCGGTGGGCTGCTGGTTTTGTACTCTGCTTGTGAGCATCCCAAAGACATAAAGCTGACTGTGACTGGAAGCAGAACACCCAGCTACTCCACCCCTATCTACTACTCTTGAGGGTAGGACTTGAGGCAATGGCTTCCAAGTTACAACAAAGGAGATTCTGACTAAACATCTGGAAAAACCTTGTGACAGTAAGAGCTGTTTGGTGGTGGACTCTCCTTCCTTGGAGGTTTTTAAGCAGAGGTTGGGTGGTCATCTGTCCTGGATGCTTTAGCTGAGATTCCTGCATTGCAGGGGGTTGGACTAGATGACCCGTGGGTCCCTTCCAACTCTAAGGTTCTATTATTCTCTGATCTGGGAGTTTATTCACCAAAATTGGGGGCAAAAACTCTTCAAATACACCTTTAAATAATTTTAAAGTACAACAACACAGAGTTTTAACAATCTAGTAAAGCTGATCAGTGTACCTCGGCGCACTGGGAATGTATTTCCAAAACCTGGTGTCATTTTCATAAGTGATAGTTTAAATCAGGTCCCCCCCCCCATCTCCCACATTTGAAATTCCGTTGTAAAACCTACATAGGCTTGGAATATACTTTGGGCTGCTCTACATTAGAATCCAGAATTGACGCAGTAAATACTAAAAGGCAGAATTGCATATGACAACACTCTCAGATGTTAAAGCTCTTTGCTGAACAAGTGAACTGCGCATTTTAAAGCAGCTTAAATCACATGAGCAAGAAAATCTTTGTTTATCTCTTCTGGGCATATATTCCCCCATTTCATTTTTTTAATGCACACAAAATGAAATGTCAAATCCACCCAGTGGCCAGAAGGGAAATGGTGGCAAAATATCCTGACCCTACTGTGTTTGCATCACTGAACATTCTCCAGTTTCCCAATATCGACATATAATCCCCTGAAAATATTATGGAGCAAGCCAAGTTACTTTTCACGGGCAACAATCCTGTTGTTAGAGATTTTCTGACTTCTAAAAATAATATACCAATTGCAGAAAACTAATTAAACCTAACAACATGCAAAGAGGAGGCAGGGCCCAGGACTGTCTCTCCATTTTTCTATGAAAGCAAATAAAGATCCTGTCTTGTCCAGCAGTCCTATAGAAAGGAAAGAAGCAGGCTTGCTCTAATGTTTATACACATGCAAAACAAATCCATGAGGAAAAAGCAGGACTGACTCCAAGTCTCAAGGGGCCTTTGACAAAATGCTCCTCCAATCTCTGGCCTGCATAGCTAGAGGTAAAGGAATGAAGGCAGTCACCATCCAGAAACCTATGTTCAACACCACTTTGACCACATCTGTTCTATGGCAGCCTTCTTCAACCTTGGGAACCTTGGGCTCCATTAGGGTATGTTGAATTTTTCAACTTTCAGAGTCCAAAAACGAGGGATGCTAAAAAGTGTTGCAATGGTGGTAACAGCATTTGTGTGTGTAGATGTGTGTGTTTTTTGTTCAGGATGGTGAACGAGAGTTTTCTTTTTCTCCTTTTCTCTTTAACAAAAACTAAGCTGCTGCTCCAAAGGGACGCGGGTGGCGCTGTGGTCTAAACCACAGAGCCTAGGGCTTGCCGAAAAGAATGTCAGTGGTTCAAATCCCGGGGTGAGCTCCCGTTGCTCGGTCCCTGCTCCTGCCAACCTAGCAGTTCGAAAACATGTCAAAGCGCAAGTAGATAAATAGGTACCACTCCGGCGGGAAGGTAAATGGTGTTTCCATGCACTGCTCTGGTTTGCCAGAAGCGGCTTAGTCATGCTAGCCACATGACCCGGAAGCTGTACACTGGCTCCCTCGGCCAGTAAAGTGAGATGAGCACCACAACCCCAGAGTCATCCATGACTGGACCTAACAGTTTACCTTGGTGAATAAGTAGTAGCCCCACCCCCCAAAAAAAATCAGCAGTTCAAATGAGAAGGGTTTCTATAGACCCCTTCCACCATGTGCTGAAAGGAGCTGATCAGAGCACTAGCTAAGACTGCCCCAGGTGTCTGAGGCCTCTTAACCAAGTCCAAGGCTGCAATCCTGCACACACATACCTGGGAATAAGTCTCATTGAACCCAGTGGGGTTTACTTGGCAAGGAGCCATGTGTAAGGGTTGCACTGTAAGGGTTTTTAAAGGTTGATTCATCCACACACTTCCATCACTTGGTGAGTTATTACTTAAGTACTCTTAGCCAAGAGGGTGAATAAAGAGACCACTGACCATTAGGTCCAGTCGTGGCCGACTCTGGGGTTGTGGCGCTCGTATCGCTTTATTGGCCGAGGGAGCCAGCATACAGCTTCCGGGTCATGTGGCCAGCATGGCTAAGCCGCTTCTGGAGAACCAGAGCAGCGCATGGAAATGCCGTTTACCTTCCCACCAGAGTGGTACCTACTTATCTACTTGCACTTTGGCATGCTTTTGAACTGCTAGGTTGGCAGGAGCAGGGACCGAGCAACAGGAGCTCACCCCGTCGTGGGGATTCAAACCGCGGACCTTCTGATCGGCATGTCCTAGGCTCTGTGGTTTAACCCACAGCGCCACCCGCGTCCCTAGAGGGTGAATAGTCTCCCTTTAAAAGAGAATTGGGTTTTGAGTTGCCTGTGGGTGTAATATGGCCTTTCAGTCTGTGGGGTTTAACCTGCAGTGGGTGATTCACACATGCAAGTTATTTACTCAATGCTATCATCTGTACTTTTGGCTGGAGTCAGTTCACCCTTTCAAATGTCAGGTGTGGAGAAATACATCTCTATCTGTCTATCTATCTATCTATCTATCTACACACACACACACACACACACACACACACGTTGAAAACAATTATGAGTTGCAGAGCTGTGGGAGGCTTCCACAAAGGGTGTCCCATAGCAAGTCCTGTAGCATCTGTGTCTTCTCCCCAATTTGAGTCTATACATCACATTAAGCAACACATATGGCCACCTTTAAATGCCACACTTTTGCATACTAAAAAAGCACTGGTAGAAATGTAGAGCTAAAATAAAAGGCATACAAGTGACGTAGAAAATATACCTACAGCCGCACATTGTAATCTCAAAGGCCTGCCCTTCTCCCATTTGCAAATGACATCCCCATTGGACTGTCAAATTTGGGCCACTTTCCACTAATCCGGTCTCTCTTTCTCCCCCCCCCCAGCTGTTGCCATCTGCTATCCATTTTCATGATGAGATCCAAAAAACCCCAGAAATATATGTGTTCATATAGCACCTAACACGTTCCTTCTCTAATGAACTCTAGCCTAAGTACGTGTAACCGCATGGTCACGTAGTTCCAATTGCAGGGAATCACAAGCAGGGAATGTGCTTTTGTGCTCATGTCCTGCCTTAAAGAATCACAGAATCATAGAGGGGACCACAAGGATGATCTAGTCCAAACCCCTGTAAGGCAAGAATCTTTTGCCCAACGTGGGGCTTGAACCCATGACCTTGATATTAAGAGTCCCATGCTCTTCCAACAGAGCTATCTATCCTTGCTTGGTTGGCCATCATGACAGCAAATTGCTGGACTCGACGGTCTCCATGCATGTTCTCATTCTACTTGCTTTTACCTTTCCTTCTCCTCCCCTGTCTGCCACTGTCTCTTGCTCTCTCAGAAAAGACCCAGTAAGCTCCTAGGACCTGTTTTTGCAGGTTGACTGGTTGCTCGCATTATTCTGTAAAACACCATGCACATCAATGCTGCTGTGTCAATACATTTCAAAATAAATCCTCATAGTCAAATCCCACTATTTTCCCAAGCTCTTGCCTGCATGGCAGTGCAGTTTGGCACTGTTATTTATCTCTTTTGCATAAAGAGATTTTGTTTCATCTTTTGAATGAATAAATATTACCAGCAGGACCTGCAATAAAACATCGCTTTGTAGAGCGTTCTGGTTCAGCAGTGCAGGATTTGGGTGGTGCGGGTTTTTCCCTGTACAGAGCACTGAGCCGAAGGGTTGCAAAATATTATTATTAATAATAGTAGTAATAATAATAATAATAATGAAACCTATATTTATATGGGTACCTACTGAGAAGAAGAATAAAAAAGCAACTGCATGAAAATGAACTATTGTGAAAATAAGAAGTATTGCCATATTACCAAAGTCCGCCTGTGGCTCCAGTTACCAATCTCCTTTTCCTAGATGCTATGTTCCATTCCTGCTCCCACCCAGTTAAGGCAGTGAAAGTCCTGTGTAAGTGTCTGGAAGCAGCTGGAGGATGGATGGCGGGTAATGGATTGAGGTTGAATCCTGACAAGACAGAAGTACTGTTTTTGGGGGACAGGGGGCGGGCTGGTGTGGAGGACTCCCTGGTCCTGAATGGGGTAACTGTGGCCCTGAAGGACCTGGTGCACAGCCTGGGAGTCATTTTGGACTCACAGCTGTCCATGGAGGCACAGGTTAACTCGGTGTCCAGGGCAGCCGTCTACCAGCTCCACCTGGTACACAGGCTGAGACCCTACCTGCCCACAGACTGTCTTGCGAGAGTGGTGCATGCTCTAGTTATCTGCCACTTGGACTACTGCAATGCGCTCTACGTGGGGCTACCTTTGAAGGTGACTCAGAAACTGCAATGAATCCAGAATGCAGCAGCTAGACTGGTGACTGGGAGTGGCCACCAAGACCATATAACACCGGTCCTGAAAGATCTTCATTGGCTCCTAGTATGTTTCTGAGCACATTTAAAAGTGTTGGTGCTGACCTTTAAAGCCCTAAATGGACTCAGTCCAGTATACCTGAAGGAGCGTCTCCACCCCCATCATTCTACCCGGACACTGAGGTCCAGCGCCAAGGGCCTTCTGGCGGTTCCCTCGCTGCGAGAAGTGAGGTTACAGAGAACCAGGCAGAGGGCCTTCTCGGTAGTGGCACCTGCCCTGTGGAACGCCCTCCCAGCAGATGTCAATGCAATAAGCAACTATTGTACTTTTAAAAGACAACTGAAGGTGGCCCTGTTTTTAATATTCGGTTGGAAGCCGCCCAGAGTGGCTGGTGGAAACCAGCCAGATGGGCGGGGTATAAATAATAAATTTAATATTATTATTATTATTCTTTCCCACACCCAATTTCCAACCCACCATCAGAATTCTATTGCTACTGAGCATGCTCCATCCTCACTGGGCAGTTCTGGGGCTCCCCTCCCACGTTGGGATTTCCCCCCCTAAAGGTTGTTTCGACTTCTGCAAGCCTCTGGTACTTTTGCAAACAGACTCTTGTGTGTGAGTGGTGCCGGTTGACTTACATAAGGACCAGCACTAGCAGAATTGAATCAGCTATTAGTATATATCATAAGATTGCTATGCATTTTTGATCTTGGGTTGAATCCAGTGCTGGAGTAGACCCATAGAAATGAATGGACATGACTAACGTAGTTTCATTAATTTCAATATGTCAACTCTGAGGGGGACTTAGTTGGATGCAATCCCTCATATATATCCTCCACTTACAATTAACACGCACATGATTTAAACAGAAAACTAATTACTGTATGTGTTGTATATTGCTGTAATTGTTGTAACCTACCCTGGAACCTAAGGGTGTAAGACAGGTTAATAGTAATAGTAATAATACTGAATTCACCTAAGACAGTGAAAGATTTTTGTACATTTTGATGCTCATGCAAATGATCATCTTACACAACAACATAATGTCAGAGGAGAGAATTCACAGAAGATGCATGGAGAGCTCGCTGGGCTCAGAAGCCCATCTGAATTTTTCAGTGTGTTTTCTCCTCTGAAGTTATGTGAGCAGACCACTTGCATGAACAAGACGGCTGCCAGAAGTAATAGACGACTTGGCCCTCAGAACACTAATTTCACTGATAGCCGTGCCAAAACCCATTCACAAAAGTCAGAACTGAAAGATTGCAAGAGGCAGTTTGAAAGATGGAAGTAAATTATGTGCGGCAAACTGTGATGCATGCCCGTCACTTCCGAAGTGTAGCATAACACCAGTGTAGTTAGGCAAAGCGAACCATACAGTTTTAATTCACAGCATGCAATAATCTCTCCACCAAGCCTCTTCACAGCATCCAACAAAGGAGCCCACTCCCTGCTTAATTTGAAAGTAATTCTTCGTTTTGTTTGTTTCAACTTTAAAGACTATTTAAACAGTGGACAAATGTTACTAATCCCCTGTCCAAAGTGAGAGGGTGAGAGATGGGGCATTTTACTTTTCAGAACTCCTGTGATAAATATGCTCCACTCGTTTCCTTAAAAACCAGCAAAATGATCACAAGGTTACAGGTAAAAATAGAAATGGCAGAAATGATTTTTTTAAAAAGTCCTTTCCTACTTTATAAGGATTATAGAGAGTGTATTTGTAGCAAGAGCTTTGATAGAAAAGATCCACATTTGAAGCAGAGCCACCATTTCTACTTCCTATAGAAGCTCATGCTATAATAAAGCCGTGTTTCCAAGGTGCCACAAGGCAACTGCTTTTGCTGCAAGAGACCAAGCTAGCTGCCCTTTCGGAATTTCATGAAAGCATTTCCTTCCTATTGAAAGTTTCTAAAAGGCCTTAGAGGAGGACTCACTCAACAAGTGAATAAAAGCACCACGACCATCACCCGGCTGCCGACAAATAGCAGCTCTGACTCAAGAGTCGCATTAATTGACACCCATGGGCTGCCACTCATTTCTCCAACGGAGTCAACCAATTGTTTCAGAACAGGGAAAATAGTTTTGAACCTTGCAATTCAGTAGTCTATTTCTGTTCGTGTGACCCTGACCACATTCTGAACAATGTTTCTCTTCTTCTACTTCTGCAAAAGCTGTAAAATGGCAACCTGCGTTCTTCTCGGTGGAGAAATCACCAGTTTTAGCACAGACAGGTCACCCACCTTCTGACTACAGAGGTCTATTTGCAGTTCCACTGGCGATCTTTAAACAAATTCCGTTCCTGTTCCCCTCAAGTTTTCCTTGAAGATGCTCATTTGTGAATTGCTAACTTTACACAGGTAAAGGTCACACACACTCTTGCCTGACCCAGTAGTTCCTGCACAGTTCCATTAAAACTGGGTGCTATTACCATCAGTCTAAACTTTTGCTATATAGGCTTAAATCACCGACAAGCAATTTCTCGGTCACACTTACTGTCGGGGTTAATGGAGCCAGGTCCACCAGCTTGAAGGCATTTGCTTCCGAGTCATTCAGGAAATCTACGACTCTACTGTGGTAGGAGTCCGTAGGCGGGTATGAGGTGTCTCTTTGCATGGACTGCGTATTCATATGGGTAAGGTCGAAACCATTTACCCAGGAAATGCCACCAAAACGAACCAAAATCCCTCTGCGTAGGACCCTTTAATTGATCGGCACAGTTTCACCCATTTTCAACTTCTCAAAAAGACTTGTCTGATTTCTCTCTCCCAGTCTCTTCTGAAGCTGTACACAATCCAGTGGTGATTTTTCTCTCTCTATAAAGCCTCAGAGTCCCTCTTTCGGTCTCTAAGCTCAGCAAGAGGCAGCAGCGATGGAAGCAGCTTTCTATTTAAATATGAGAGCCTGCAGATTGTGCACATGCCCAGTAAGATCCTGATTTGTCCCATGCAAATTCAAGGCAGCAGCGTAACTATTTCATCAAACCAATGGGCATTTCAGTATAATGTCTCTTCCTATTGTCCCTTGGGCAAATTTGAGACATGGTAAAAAAAACCCTCATCAGCTTAATATGATGGGAGAAATAAAAGGTGAAGACAGGTTGGTCTCATTCCAAGCTGGCCTCACTTTTTGTCATTTTAAAACGTGTGTGTGTATGTGTGTGTGTGTGTGATATTCATGCATCTACTCCTTTTGCAGCCCTGGCACATTAATTAGTCTATACCTGATAATAAGATGTACTCTGAATACAAAAGGACATGATCCAGCTAATAAGCAATTTTTACAAGTGCCACTGATATTTCAATGGGAAAGTGTTAAGCATGTTGCTCAGGCAAATTCCCCCTGAAATCACTCTCTGGCTGGATCAGGCCCCAAGGGTCTAATGGATTTAGTTATGAATCTATCTATGTATGTGTTAATGGGTTTGCTTAAAAATCTAGGTCAAAATTAATAAATGTTCTACTTTCAAGGGACAAAGAGAGAGAGAAAGATGAGAGACTTAAATATTGTAACATTAAAGCAAATGCAGTTTGTGCAGCATTGAGGTCCCTTTGGAGTCTTGATTTAAACACAGACAGAAAACATACTTTAAAACAAATGCTAAAAGATCCTTCATCCCCCATCACATCAGCCAAGGGCTCAGTACCGTATACTGAGAAGTGCGTACACGTAACGAACAGACAGGGTTGCCCCCTAGAGATGAATTGATTTTGAAAATGCTATCCTGTTACATTGTTAAAATGTCCTGGGCAACTTTTGACCTGCTAAGTCAAATGAGCCTGAAATGCACTTAATATTTCCCCTCATTTTTTGTACCCACACCAAGCAGCAAATAAATACAGTTAATTAATATCCGTACGTGGCAGGAACCAGTGGCAGCTAGTGCCCATTGGGACTGGGAGAGGGAGGTCAGGGAGGCCAACAGAAGGTGGCGGCAGAACCAACAACAGGCAGAGCCCACTAATTTGCCTGGGCAGGACGCAGGCCTGGGCAGGCCGGGTCGTCCTCTTATATACCTGCTGGGATTGACAAGGCATCTGACCCTCACCTGAATCTCATAGCTCTCCTGACGAGTGCTTTGGTCTGCCCATCAGATACCAGGCACTCTACTATTCAAATTAGGCCCCAGTGTTTTTGTACTATTCAAATTAGGTCCCCTTCTCAATTAAGTAATCAATTTTAATCTAGAATTTAAATTCTCAAAACTTTCTTATTTGTCAATTCAAGCAAGTAAACTACTGCTCTCACTTCATTATTTTGGAGCTTTATAATTTAGGAAGACTTTGAAAGAAATGATTGACAAGTCTTATCAGTTGCTGACATATGAACGGCTTTTATTTGCTGCTATTTTGGGCTTCTGGTGCATCAGGGTTTACACCAGTGTAATAGAGTTGGCCAGGATGCCAAAAGGGATACAATTTATGAGCTTTCTCCATTATCTGCACAGCAGGGGGCGTTCAGTCAACAGGGCAAAGGCTGAGCTGAAGCGTTTCCTGCTGGTTACTTGCTTTCAGCAACAGGGGTTGCTGTTTGGTAGTACCCAATTGTTAGCTGTCAGATTCTAGAGCTCCCTGTTGGTGGCTCTTAAGTAACTCACAAAATACAGAATCCATTCATAAAACACAGTGTTCATTCATAAAACAGTAACATAAATCTCCATTGCTACATATTGGGTGCATATTTCAGTGGTTGAAAGTACAGGTTTATGGCCATGCTGCAGTGTGGTGCTTATGCGACTGTGAATAAAAGGTGGCTGGGCTCATTGTCTCAGGGTTTGGGGGGAAGTGGTGACAAAACTGATTTCCAATAAGTGCCCCCCTTTATTTCCATAACAAGTCCTTGAGTCTGACACCAGGGACCTAGAATCATAGAATCATAGAGTTGGAAGAGACCACAAGGGCCATCGAGTCCAACCCCCTGCCAAGCAGGAAACACCATCAGAGCACTCCTGACATATGGTTGTCAAGCCTCTGCTTAAAGACCTCCAAAGAAGGAGACTCCACCACACTCCTTGGCAGCAAATTCCACTGTCGAACAGCTCTTACTGTCAGGAAGTTCTTCCTAATGTTTAGGTGGAATCTTCTTTCTTGTAGTTTGGATCCATTGCTCCATGTCCGCTTCTCTGGAGCAGCAGAAAACAACCTTTCTCCCTCCTCTATGTGACATCCTTTTATATATTTGAACATGGCTATCATATCACCCCTTAACCTCCTCTTCTCCAGGCTAAACATGCCCAGCTCCCTTAGCCGTTCCTCATAAGGCATCGTTTCCAGGCCTTTGACCATTTTGGTTGCCCTCCAAGGTCAACCAAGGTGCAGGGCTTGTCAGTCTAACCCCCGCACAGTCTTATCAGTCTTATCCAATTACCTTAAGGTAATTGGAGCAATTTAGCCAAATTGGGCCCCGCGTGCCGCTCCTAAGGGCCCCCCCGCACCAGGGCAATCTAGATGGATTTTATTTATATCTATAAGATTTTGCAGACTTTGGCTATGAACTGGGGCCCTACAAAAAAAATTCAAGTTGCACCCCACTGCTTCAAATTGGGCCCCACTGGCTAGCCCTGAATCTCATAGTTGCCAGGCCTGAGTTGCCCTGCCCTTGCATGAAGTCTTGGATTTACAATTTTGGGAGAGGGGAGACTGCGGCACTGGGGAGAGGGCAGGCTGGTGAGGCCCCCAAGATTTAGAGGCCTGAGTTGCCCTGCCCTCGCATGAAGTCTTTGGTTTGCGATTTTGGGAGAGGGGAGACTGCCCGCTGGGGAGCGGGAGGGCTGGCAAGGCCCCCTAGATTTAGAGGCCCTAGGCTTCAGCCTACTTAGCCTACACATAAATCCAGCACTGGGTCAAGGCGGCGGCCGCCCCTCTGCCACCGCCATCGCTGCAGCATCAATATCCCGAACGTGTACTGTAGTATTTATTTATTTAGCCACGCCCCCCCAGCCGACCAGATTGGTCGACCCAAGGAGTGACGCAGCTGGGGACTCCCTAATGGCGTGGGGGCTTGTCACGCCTCCCGCACAGACCTCGTGATGAGCCCACAAAAAGGAAATGGCTACGGTGGGCAGGCGCTCGGGGGCTGCAAGAGATTGCTTTTTCAAAATTGCCTGGGGGACCATTTGAAACCAGCCCAGGGGCCGGACTTTGGACTCTGGACATGCCTGGGCTAGAGAGTTACAAATTATGCTGGCCTGGATTAAGATAACGTTTTTATTTTAAAAATTGACCAGGACCCTCCAACACTTCTCTTATGAAAATAGGGATGCCCTATTCAACAACAACAACAACAATAATATTTGTACTCCGCCTATCTGAACTGGGTTGCCCCAGCCATTCTGCATAAAAACATAATAAAACATTAAACAAAACTTCCCTATACATGGCTGCCTTCAGATGTCTTCTAAAGGCTGTAGAGTTACTTAAATTCTTGGCTCAGGGGTCACATAACTCCATACCCTCCAACATTTCTCCAATGGAAACAGTGACGTCTTAAGGAAAAGTGGGACATTCTAGGATCAAATCAGAAAATGGGATGGCTTCTGTAAATCTGGGACTGTCCATGGAAAATAGGGACACTTGGAAAATATGGACGTACACACACACCTGTCTGGAGTCACCCCAAGGCTAGAACTCGGAAACATAGCTCAGGCCAGGGAGCAACTGCTGGACATTGTGAATTAATGGAACTACAACTTGGAGTATGATGCTCTCAAGCTTAATAATAATAATAATAATGTTATTATTTATATCCCACCCATCTGGCTGGGCTTCCCCAGCCACTCTGGGTGGCTGTCAGCACATATAAAAACATAACAAAATGTCAAACATTTAAAACTTCCCAATACAGGGTTGCCTTCAAATGTCTTCTAAAAGTCAGAGAGTTGTTTATTTCCTTGACATCTGATAGGAGAGCGTTCCACAGGGTGAAAGCGGCTACTGAGAAGGCCCTCTGCCTGGTTCCCCATAACCTCACTTCTCACAGTGAGGAAACCACCAGAAGGTCTTCGGAGCTGGACCTCAGTGTCTGGGCTGAACAATGAGGATGGGGACGCTCCTTCAGGTATACAGGGCTCCTTCAAGTTTACAGGTCAGCACCAACACTTTGAATTGTGCTTGGAAATGTACCGGAAGCCAGTGAAGAAACTTTAGGACCTGTATTATATGGTCCTGCCTCTACGCTGGCCAAGACCTGATATTGCAAGCTATGGCAGTATAGAAATACTGTTATGAAGAAATGAATAAAACTTGGGAGTGTACTGGTTGGCTAGCTCTACAAACCTGCCCAGGACGGCTGTTTAATCCTCCTGGACAAGAAGCAGTGTCAGAGTGCTCCCTCTTAAGCCTTAGCTGAGTATAGGGTATTCCTGAGCTTTAGCGTGTTCCTGTATCCTTTCGCTCTGGTTTGCTTCTTGATCCCACCCCCTGGTTTGTCCTTTGGCCCTGACTGGGTACTGGCTTGTCCCACAAGCTCCTGGGCCAGCTCAGACTAATGGCCTTGGCCCAGCCTGGACACCACCTGTTGACAAGTGCAGATCCAAGTCCCAGAACCATGGTTGTGTTTTTGCCCCTTCTGTCATCCTGTGACAGATCAAGCTGAAAGCGGGTCAGTTATGGCCACCAACTCGGATGGCTTTAAAAGAGGATTGGACAAATTCATGGAGGATATCAGTGGCCACTAGCAATGATGGCTATCCTCTACGACCATCATCAGAGGCAGTATGCCTCTGCACATCAGTTGCTAGGAATCACAGGTGGGCAGAGTGCTGGTGTGCTCATCTCCTGCTTTGGGCTTCCCAAAGGAATCTGGTTGGTCACTTTAAGAACATGATGATGACCTAGATGGGCCGTTGGCCTGATGTCATGGTTTTC